AAGGGTACATCACGTTTCCGAACTATACAGAACTAAATGATTTAACATTGGTGTTAAAAATCCTAATCTTCTGGTTGTTCGTCCTGTGGAGGGAAGACGATTTCCAAACTGATTTCTGACAGTGATTAGTACTCGTTTGTGTTGTTATTGGTTAGTTATCTCCATCAACTCACGTCTTTTGTATGTTCACCTGAAGTCCTGTCTTTACTGGCTCTTCAATCAGTAGCAGAATCGTATTCATGCGTCGGTGGCACAGTGGTTAGGACTCTCGCCGACCATGCACATGGTCCCGGGGTTCGAGCCCTCGCCGACGCACGCCTGATATCTATGGTCGGCCTGCAAATTTTCGGGCTACCGATATCCACGCTGAAAATTCCATACTTGTACCAAAATACAGTGTGGAATCAAGCTGTAATCAAAAATAAAAAATAAAAAAAAAAATAAAAAAAAAAAATAATCGACAAAGGAGAATGACCTTGGTCTCCATAGAATCCTCGTATGTTTACAGTATTAATAGAACAGAAGAAATCCCTTTGGTTACATTTATGAAACTGTGTAAATTTATAATCAGTCCATAAGCTCATAGTAAGTATTAAAAAGACGGTTTCATCGGAGAAAATGATCTTTTTTGATGGAGTCATCAATTATGTAGCCAGATGTATATTCGTGAGTATCTGTAATACTAAATGGGTGAGAAAGTTCCAGGACTCTGTTTCCACACAAAGGTGAAATTAATAAAATTGTAAATAGGAATTAAAATGTAATGATGGATGAAAACACACATAGTAAGATCAGAATCACTGAGGAAATTTAATTTTTAGGGCGATTGGAGATTTAAAAAACTTTTTTACGATGACCATGGTAGGGAAAACGGTTGGATGTATTTCTTTTAAATACATAGAGTAGGCTTGAATTTGTGGATCACTGGTGCCTAAGCTAATTCAAGATACCTTGATCTCACCTTCTTTGAGAAAGGGAGATAGAGATGCTTGATTGGATCCTGTATATGACTTTGAAGGACTTTCCGAATGGAGTTGGATGTTCTGAGTTCACTAGATGTTCTGTTACGGAACCATGTGCATACTTGTGTTCTTTCTCTACTAGCCAAATATGCTGGTTACTGTTTCTGAGATAGTCAATTTGGTATTATTACGTTTGTAATCCTTAATTCCACAAAAATTGTCAGTTTTCTTAGTAATTATGATTCTACAGTTTTTGCTTTTATCTGATCTTATGTTTATCATACCTATTTGCATTTTTATTAATGTGATCATTGACTGGAAATAGAGTTCTGAAGCTTTCTCAGCCATTTAAACTATAAATCCAACAAGCCACAAAAACCCTCTCTTTTGAAACTCCGCTAAAATTGTAATTAGAATTTCCAAATCTCATTATGGTTCATTTGCACTCACACTGATTCGTTGCCACTATAGCTGTTTCATTTGCTGGAGACCTAACTAATTAAGGATATACTCAAAGCATTCTCATAAGGACAAACTACTTTACAAATTCTGTCAATTAGAATAATGATTTACGTTACTATAGATGTGTGTTATTTCTACATTTGTATCCAATTTTAGAAGTATTTGATAGACTTTGTTAAAGCTGATATCATTTAGACTTAGTTTATTGACAGCTTGAATTCAGTTGAATAGTGGAAGGCTTTTACCACTTAGAATGAGGCGTCTCTTTTTACCATTTGGTCATTTATTATCAATCATTTTATGGTATTTACATTTGGGCGTATTTATCTTCTGTGAAAAAGATCGTATTACTAAGTTATATATATATATATTCCTTTCAATGATATGATTGTATGATTGACATAACTCAACTAAGGTGGACAAAACTTCTGCACGGTTTTCTCATGGGCATGCATTCACATTATTCTGTAAATCAAAGTGAGAATAAAGTCTAGTTAGTCACATTTGTTGGTTAGATCATCACTCAGATGAAGAGTCTCAAACAAGGACGAAACATACCGTTTAGTGTCTCTTTTGGTTTTCAGTGATTTTCTAAGTAATTTCGGTGCATTATGTGAAGTCTATAATTATTGTTATTCCGTTGGGTTCCGAATGGAACATAGGGCTTCAGCAGAATATCTCCAGTTTGCCCTGTTCTCTGTAGTCCACAATTGCCCATAAGCATTCACCTCCACCTGACACGACGTCCTTTTTGCATGTGGTCCTTGGATCCACACCTATTTGGTCGTTTCCTATTCATGTTCCACTTTCAGGGTGTAGCAACTGACGTCACTCATCGGTTGCCTCGACGATCCAATACTATTCCCTTTGGAATTTTTCTTCGACAATAGGTCCTTCGTTAGTTTGTTCCCAGAGTTCTTTGTTCCTAATTCTTTCTGACCATCTTGTCTTCAGTATGGAGCCAGCGAAGGCAGATTTTGACAAAAGTCTGCAACAAGCTGTTAGAAATGTTTCTCATGACATGTGGGCCAACTTTCTGACCCATGTAGAAGAACCGACTCATTCAACACCAGTGTTAAAGTCCTAATCTTGTTGTTTATACCGAATGCAGCTGATTTCATAGTGATGAAGGTCTGCCTTTGCGATCTTGCCTTTCACACCTTTATTCGTGCCGCTCGTAGTTAAATCTATGCTTCCTAGATAGTTAAAGGGGGTGACATTCTTCAAATTTCTCCCATCGATAAGGATCCGTCCATGTTGTTGTTGTTGGTTGATTGATCGTTAATCTGCACCCCCTCCGTCTACTTTATATTTACTTGAAATCCTGTCTCTTCTGTTAGCTTCTTCTGCCAGTTTATTGGATTTTGCCTGTAAGATTTCGGGTCTGTGTGACATTAGACATAAATCATCTGAGAAGTCCAGATCTTCCGGAGTCTTCTTATTGGTTTAACATATTCCTGTCTATTCGCGTCTCATGCATGATGTGTTTTATGGTCCAATCCACCTTAAATAAGTAGAGTAATCCCAACAAGGTGGGAGTGAAACTCTATCAGCAAGTATCATGCACCAAATACTTTCCGCTTACACTCCAAAGTCAAAACCCTCATTGCGGCAATTCACTCCATTCAGAAACACTGATATCGTGATAAAATACTATCTCACAACCAAAAAAGTGTCTAAGTCAAAAAATGTACAAGAGAAATGAGAAATATTAACGATTAAGTCACTAGGTGACATAAAAACGTTAGAATTATCATGTACAGTCTAGGATAAGAATGAATGATTATTACAAATTTAACTAAAACACCCAAATAAGTACCAATGGTGTAAACAGATCACTCAAGTGGGATAGTTTAAACTATATTTCCTATACATTTCAACGAAGCGAAGACAAATGTTCGTGTAGAACAATATGAGGTCATCATTTATTTCCTCGTCAGATTCTCTTCAGGTGCGTCGGTGACACAGTGGTTAGGACTCTCGCCGACCATGCGCATGGTCCGAGGTTCGATCCCCTGCCGACGAAGCACACCTGATATCTATGGTAGGCCTGCAAAATTTGGGCTACCGATATCACATTCTGAAAATTCCATACTCATACGTAAAATACAGTGTGGAATCAAGCTGAAATAAAAAATATTAAAAAAAATTAAAATTAAAAGGTGATTGTGTAAATGTATATAGAAATTTGTCATACTTTCAAGGTTGGACATGATTTTTGTTACCAGAGACACAAGTCAATAAACAACGTTCAGAAGTTCAAATTATAGAACTTATGAATAGAGGTGAAAGTTCCAAAAATATACAAAAATAAACGTTGCATACAATGAAAACTAAGTTGTACAGCGAAGACAAGAATTGAGAAGTTGATGATGATAAGTAACCGTGTGATGAGTTTAACTTAAGGGACAGTCACAAAGAAGAAGTGAATTACACTAAAGCGAAAAATGGCGGGGGTTGGGGTGGATATAAGCGAAAGATTATATAATCAATTGAGATGTGAATAGATTGGAAATCATCAATGTAAGGAAAGACTAGTAAGTGAATCTTTCTTAACACATAAGTAACATTTTAAACGTTTAATAGCGATCGCTTCGGCGAATGTAATGAGAGTGGAGTTTTATAATCTATTAATAATTTTGAAGAATTTCACAGTGTCCATTTCATGGTGATATCACTTATCAAAGCGTTCGCTCTTCTTAGACATAAAAGGTTTTTCGTACATGTTCTGAGAATCCGGAGTATACCCTTCTTTCTGCTCTCTCAGTGTAACCGCTATCCTAGATTCACGTGAATTTGTATACACAATTCGAGTTAACATGGTGAGGGTATTTATCAACCTTTGGTTACACCAAAGATTTTGTTGTTCGGTAAACACGAACTAGTTTGGTTGCAGGATATATTCTGGCTAGTTACAAGTGTGAGGGCTTAACTAGTGAGAATCATTCCACTCAGGTTGGATATGCCGACTAACCTAGACATTTGGTTGAAAGATTAAGTGTCTAACATTCATAATATTAACAGCTAATTGGTTAACTGTTTCATTTATGAAACTGTATTGTGCTTTATATACGGTATAATATCCAAAGGCTAGACTGTTTAAATACATTAGAATGATTGTGTACAGATTATAATTTATTTACAATCTTGTATTTATTCGAAGCCTTCTGTTCAACTGAGAGTAGTAGTGAAGTCCTGGAAGTGCGTCTCGTTCTGTTTAGTACTTGTCAGCTGAATATAACTGCACCCTTAGTAAGCGATGATGTTTTCATAGAGATTCGAACCCGGTGCCAATCGTTTTTAACACTAGAAGGTTATCCACTTGATTTCTGAGCGATAAGAACCACCTGTTGAGTGACAGTTATTGCTTGAAATTCTTTATGTATATTTGTATAATCCTACATGCTTCAGTTGTTTAACATCACGCCTTTTACCTGCTGTCAGCCTAATACACATGAAAAAGAATCTACAGACGAAATACCCCCACCCTTAAAAATGTATTTTCAACATTCATCTGTACAATAATTAAACAATAAATTTTCTCTCTCTATTAAAATATATATATATATATTTCAGGTAATCGCTATATTGAATTCTGCTCGTACTCGAAGTCCACTACCCGTGGCCAAAGATTTACAGAAAGCAATTAATCTGATCTGCAGTTCAGATGTATTTGTTGATCAAATCATGAAACCGTTGAGTCGAACAAATGATCCGATCACAGCAGACTTAATTGAAGGATTGATAACAGTAAGTGATTGTTTTTTCAATTTCTAGTGTAAATTTTAAAAATAATAAACATTATGTAACAACAGAAGACAAGGGCCAGGCAACAGATGGTATTATTAAGGAAATCAACACGTATTTATATATATTTTATGCACATTATTATAGCTTATTCAAGCAAACAAACACAGTCTTCTGATTGGTTGTCTCTCACAGAAAGTTGACCTTGCATCTCTTTGTGACTGTTTCTTGAATGTCAGATCCTCTATATGCTAACTGTATCTGCTTACGCAAAGTCTGCTGTGGTTGGCTGTTCAATCAGTCATTGTTCATATTTTCTCACGATCAATATTTGGGACACAAACATTGACGTAAATAATTTTCTACCAATTTGGTTAGCAGCCTGCTCTTACCACAATAATAATTCGCTTTATTTCCAAAGGGTACTTATGATACACAGTAGAATTCTGAGCATTTGATACAGTTTTTTTCAATTTTTTATTTCTTCACGTTCCAATGGAACACAGGGCTTCAAGCTAGAGGCTTGAAATTTTGATAGCAGTGGCGTTTAATTTTACGGGATGGGGTTCCTGGCCTCACGCCCAACCTTTCCTCTTCACCAGTCTCATTACAGGACTAACGAGGTTTAGGAGTGCGTCTGTCGCAGGGGATCGAATCCTGGACTACGTCTGGGTCACCGAGACATTCAGTACAGCAATGAATCTAATTTACTCAAAAGCAGTGAAATAATGTTACAGGTTATATGTAGCCAAGATTGATAATAACGACGTTTTTGGTATCAGCGGTAACAACAAAGCGAAAAACGTACAACGAGTATAAAATGATAATACGAGAAGGCAAAAAGAGTCATCCGTTTGGCTATTTAGGTAGTAGGTTGTAGTTTCACGCTTAACAGTATTTTTGTCACATAGAACTAGGGTGGATCAATCAGGTTATCGTTGAGTTTTGTACTTGATTGTGCGACTCCTAGTCCTGCCTGATGAGATATAAGGAGGGGAGAGTTGAGAATAAAAGGGAGTTCAGAGTCGGCCAAATGGAATTGGAGTATTTCTTACTAGAGTTCAGGTGTTTATCGACTACAGTAGTGACCAGCTGCCTTGCTGGTACACTATTCGCCATTCTGACAACCTTTAATTAAGTTCACAATATGATATAAGGGTATTACTGGAATTATCCCTTCTTCTATGTCTTCCTCCGTTCTGAGTCCCCACTACTTTCGTTTCATTTTATCTATTCAGTAGTATATTTATGCCCACTTGTTTGAACAGGGAAGATCCATATTCTACCTAACGAAGTTTTTAATTCACCTTCAGTCATCACATCACAAGTTGCAAATTCGCCTACCAATCCACACATATCTCATATTGACTCATTTCCTCTGTTTAATAAGGTATTAATCAAATTGGGATGAGGCCTATCTTATGACAATTGTATATAGACCTTATGTTTCCAAAATACTACATTTATCTTCACAGTACAGTGATATTTGTATTTCTCTCCCTCCAGTTATGACCTTGAAACCCTATTGGTTGTTGATTGTTTTAACTTATCAGTGTAATTAGTGTCCCTCAAGGCCACTTTAAGCATTTATAAATATTCAATTGCTGTCAACCCTTATCGCTGTTGATTCGAGGCAGTAAAAGCTCTCTACGTCAATAGTTTGTCTTCTTGTGTCGTGGTTTCGGTGGTGTCGTATGGTTTTGTTGTTTTTTGTTGCTTGTAGTTACCAGAACAGTAGATTGATGATACAACGAGGCAGGAAGTTCTCTAGCACAAACTACTAAGTGTGTTAACAGTCTTATCCCATCAGTTGTCGTTATTCACTCACATGGAACTAACACAAAACGTTTTCTGATTAAAATGAGATAACATTCAACCGATCAATCAAAATTCCATACAAAAATCAATACTTAAAATGCGATAACTAAATATCTGTCTGGCCATCCAATGAGCCAGACTGATAATCTCTATATAGGCGATATGAATTCTTTCTAGACTAATGATTTCCTTTCAACGTCCCTCAGTAAAATAACTGTACGGAAGTGAATATTCAGCGTACAAATTTGGAACAAAAATAAACGGCGGTTCCATTTGTCATACATCAAAGTAGACAAAAAAGAAATGCATTGGTTCTATAATAAAATTGCGCCATTGAGAACGACTTCTTGCCAAGTTGCCAACGATCTCAATCCTCTGATCCGTAATCTCTTGAGGATCCCATTCAAGCAGTGCGAAACTCCTTACATGGTTCAAAACAATAGTTCTTGTGTTTCTGCTCTAATTCCACTCTTTTCATACCTACGTTTTAGTTAGACGTGTCCTAGCAGTCCATGAATAGTGCTTTAATTAAAACCCAAAAGTTGCTGAAAGTAAAAGGACACTGATTGGAACGAAATAGTTGTTTGGACGATCCCTCATGAACGATCAAACTATTTATTTGGACGTTTCAACTAGCTTTGTAATTATCATCCGTTTTTCTGCTAGATCGTATATCATTGTTCTGACATTTGAATATCATATGTTGACTTGATCCTTATTATTTGTCTTTATTCCTGTTTAATCTCTATTTCGATGCTTCTATTTATGGTTCAATGCACATTGGTAAGTTGTAATTTTATTTGAATGATTCAAGTTCATTCTGACCTTGAACTCTCTGCGGGAAGCAGTAGTGTAAGATTCTTGCAGGCAGATGTTTGATCCTACCCTGCTGGGAATATTTTAATTGATTCAAAAGTACTTCTTATAGTTGAATTTCTGTTAACTTATCTTGTTGGATATTACTTGTTGTGCACTTTTAAAAAGTCTATAATGCTTGTGCAACCAGCCACCCAACGTCTCTATTGAGGTGATTTTGAGATTTTGATGTTACGCTGTTGAATAGAGTGATTCATGGATTCTAGCCACAAATAATCTTCGTTTCAGTGCCTTCTGAGCAGCGTTTTGTAATTGTGAATCTCTCAAAAAAGGTTATTCAGCTCTTCAGTAGGATATAAAGATCGATTTCTTGCTTTCAAACCACAACGAATCAACTTTGATCATAACACTGGCACAGAAATGATAGGCGAAAAGACATTATCTCAAACCTACCCTAATACATACAGCGATGTCTTATTATAAAATGAGAGAACTGCTCATTTCAATTGTTAAAAAAATATTTTCGAATAACGCAAAAAATGCTAAGATTTTTCACTAATGAAGTCATACCCTTGAAAAACATTTTCGTCTTCTGTTCTATCACTTTATGTTTAAGTGTCCCCATACACAAAAAAGTAGCGGTTTTTTCTATTTAAAATAGTGGAGAAAATTTGTACCTCAGAAGGATGTTTTTTGTATTGTTGGTGTGTTTTGTTGGCTATTTGATTGAATTGTGAATCTTACATTGTCCTTCTTTTGGACAATATTTTCAACGTTAAGTTTTCTGTTCACCTAGGTATAATCTTTGAAGAAGGAAATTTCATCACCTGCCTTATTGACATAATTAAGAACAATATTATGAAAAAGATGAAGATTCCTTCTCTGAAAAGGCCTTATTGAAAGATTTAGTTTTATTTTACTTTACTTGAAATATTATAACTGTAAGAGCTCAACTATAACAGATGTTTTGTAAAACAGTCTGTAAACCACAGTTATCGTGTGAGAGGTGATAGTCTATCTGTCTGTTTTCGACATAGAACTTTGCACCGATGTGCAGCAGCTCAAGTTGCCACACCCCTTCCTTGTAGCACACAAAGCAAGAGAGAAAGTAGAAGAAATGTAAAATAGAGATAGTAAACAGGGATATAAGACCAAAAGAGTAATAATAACGAAGAATAATATAGATTTATTGGAAATTATAAGTCACAAGGAGTGATTGCATCTACTTATCTCCATTGAGAACAAATTTGAGCCATATCACTAATTGGTTTTCACCGTCCTGAGGACCCCAACCAGTCAACGAGACTGAATCTTCCTTCGTGGGTTAAAATAACTGTTGTTGATTTCATTGACTGATGAAGCCATGTTTTGGTTTGACCACCATTGGCTCTTTTCCAGCCTGATCGACCATATGTCAGCTGGCATTGCTCATCGAGGAAGACGATGGCTAGGCATGTGCACTTCCAAAAGCACATGAAGCCTTCCCTGAAAGGTGATAGTACAATCTACTTACTCAGATCGAAGTAGTTGGTCAAGATTCGAACTCAGGAACTGTTTGTTGAAAACAAAGATCCTAGTCCAATAAGCCACATTTATATTTTGTGAATACCTTAAAAATGTATACTTGATCCATTTACATTTAAGTTTATATAAATAATGATGACTACTCAAAGTGTTGATGAATTATTTGTTGCAAATAAAAGTTTTATCAACATCGGGGAATATACGTTTCTATTCGTAATTCTAAATAAACCTTATTCAATAATCCGCTTTCATCTTTCAACAATTTACTAGGCATCAAATCTGTCTAAGGAACCAGAGGATCAACTTAAACTTCGATCGTTGGCTCATTCATTAAAAGGTAAGATCAGATGTATCGCAGTATCTTTTAAAGTTTTGCATGCTAATAATCATTAGCTCCTATAGCTCAGTGATAACGTCCCTCACCGTAGTGCTGACTGACACAGATTTGAATTTCATAAGGGTCATCAGTTCCTTCAAGGTTATTCATACACCTTTCCGATAAGTGTCAGCTAGCACCAATCCTAGATCCAGAGCTTTGTGGTTCGAGGATACTTACTTCACTCGTCAAAGCAGGTTCACTGCCAGTCTCACTATTATTTGATGGCCTATTATTTCTAGTGGATAATTATGGTCATGTTCTAATTGCTTATTTAGTCAGGTAACCGTCATCTCAATCGACCTATCAGTTCCGAGAAGACATTCGAAAACAAATTGGATGTGCACGCGACAGATAAGGAAGAATATGCCAGAGTAACGAGGAATTAAAGGATGATCAGAATAATTTATAAAGTGGAAGATTTAAAACAATTAGTTCCCTTTATCTAAAGTGGAAGATGATAAGAATTGAACACATGTCCACCGGTGTGATTGACTTGCAATGATTTCATAAACAGTCTCCAATAATTGACTCTTAACATCCCTAAGACGTTAACTGCACAGTCCATAAGTATATACTGATAACAAGAAGCTATTACACCTGGTTAATAGCAACATTTACAACCAAACATTTTTATTACAGAAAATAACAGTTTAGCTACAGTTTAGTGATGATTTAATAATGATAATAATAATAATTTGCTTTATTTCAGAAACATTACTAGTGGTACAGTGTGGAATTTTCAACACATATCTACAATATATATTTCATCTAATTTCACCGCACATTTAAAAGGAGTATTTCAAAAAATAAATATAAAAAAATAACAAAAAATGGGACAATAAATACCAAGACGTAGGAGTATTTGGTAGTGGAAGCTATGATATGTTTATGCGTCGTGAACAGTAACAGCTATAATCATACAAGAAGTTATGAAATGATATTTAAGAATTTTTATACCCAAGATGATCAGTTAATATGATTGAACTACACTGAACAATCATGAAATAAACATTTCAGGTTGTTTTTTTGTCAGCAGTAATGCGGTGTTTGCAGTGGTTGTGTGAGTAATCATGCAGAATACAAAAATTTTAAGATGGTAATAATGGTGTTCACAAACAAGATTGTCAGTTAAATAGTGCAGAACAAAAAAAAACAGTCACAAAACTAATATTACATGATGGTTATTGACAGGATAATTTTGTAATACTCATAGTGCTAATATAGTCGGGACCAGTAGATACACAAAAGAAGGAATAGTATAAAGAATAAAAAAGTAAGCCAATGATAATAATTTTAGTCAGCTAAGTATGCTTAAGAAGGTTGTTCACTATAGAATACAAATAAGAGAGAAATAAAAGAGCCAAAATTATGTTATTTGACAACGAAGCAAGTCATAGGTTTCGCGCTTAACATTGTCTCTGTCACTTAGAACACGGGCCAATTATGGTATCGTTGAATTCCTATACCTGATTGCACGAGCATATATTATTTTGTACTGATTTCCGGATATACCTGATGAGATACAAGGAGAGAGTTGGGAACAAACGGGGTTTAGTAATCACCACTGAATCCCCTGTTTCTGGACTGAATGTAGCTACACAGAGCTGATGTCTCATCAACTTAAAGAAACCAGTTGATTATTAAGTGCTCCTTCTTAATTCTAAATCATCATTATTCTAATGTAAAAATCAGGGAGAAAAATTAATCTATACTGACACTTGCTGATTACTGAAAATCTTATTCATTTCTGTAATATTACACTCATTTTTAAATACATTTTCCCAATTTTTTTCAGGATCAGACAGTGTTCTTTCCCCTGCTGCAACTTTGCAGACCAATTCAGAGATTGAGGTCTGCCTGTCTAATTTTGATAAATGGGATTTTAATATATTTGACCTTGAACGTGTAACACATAGGAAGTAAGTCCCGTATATAAATAATTCTGTTTTCCGTAGACTTTTATTCATGCCACACATTTGTTTGTTGTTTTATCGTACTGTACATCTTCATACGATAATTTCGACAATATTAGCTCTATAAGAGCAGTCAGGGTCATCAATGCACACTGATGAGTCTGACGTCCATACGTTATTCTTAACTAGCTATATGAGTACAACAGACAACAATCAGCATAAGTGGGAAGAACCTGAAAGAAACAACCTCCTACACCTACCGATGATGATATATGTCTGATTTCCCACAAAATGGAAGATATGCAAGTGAAAAGCAACAAGTTGGCAGAAGAAGGATCAAAGATAGGACTACAGGTGAACATAGAGAAAACAGAGGTGATGGAGATTCTTGGCCAACACCAACAGCAACAACAACAACAGACGACAGTCAGCATAAATGGGAGGAACCTGAAAGAAACAACCTCCTTCACCTTCCTACCTGGGAAGCATCGTCTCAACTACAGGCGGAACTGACGAGGACATCAAAGCCAGAATCGGAAGAGCAAGACAAGCTTTCATTACTCTCAAATCTGTGTGGAGGTCAACAGCACTCAGGATGAAAAATAAGATCCGGATTTTCAACTCCAATGTGAAGTCAGTGCTACTATACGGATCAGAGACTTGGCGACTCATAAAGAGCACCTCAAACAAACTTCAAACCTTCATTAACAGCTGTCTCCGCTCAATACTCAAGATCAGATGGCCAGAAAAGATCAGAAACAGGGATCTCTGGCAGTGAGCGAACAAAGCAGGGACTGATTGTGAAACAAATAGGCAGAAAGAAATGGAGATGGATTGGCCATACGCTGAGGAAACCATCAAGTGACATCACTAGACAAGCCATTGCTCGAGTGGAACCCGAAAGGGAGGCGGCTAGTTGGTCGTCAGTGCAAGGGTGACTTGGAGGAGGTCATGCGAGGAGGAAATGAAAGCATGTGGACAGACCTGGAGCAGGGTGAAAAAGTTGTCAGGAAACCGAAGGCAATGGAGGTGCGCAGCTGAAGCCCTATGTTCCTCTAGGAACTAAAGGATACAATAATAATAATATATGAGTACTGGTTAAGTTGTGAGGTTGAGTTACAGTCTAGCCATTCCCTGGACTCATCTGTTTAGTGGGTATTTTAGAATATCATATGAAGACATACATATAAATAAGTCTGACTTTCTTATTCGAATCAATAAATAAGGGATAACATTTGATTGATGACTACATGATGATTGATTACTTTTCACTGTGTACCAGTGTGTATGTCACTCAGAGAGTGAAACAGCATTATTTACTGGATGACAGCGTTTTGAATGCAATTATTCATTGTTCATATTCAACTAATCAATTTCAACTACACTGTACTTCAAAAATTGTTGAAGGTTGAGATGATTCAGTTTACTTTTCAATTGAAAAGTTAGGAAAGGAGCTTCCAGTGTTAGACTGTAGTGTAAAACGGAAAAAAGATGGGAATATAAACACAGAATTTTACAGAAAATCCACAAATTCAAACCTATATTTGAATTTCCGATCACTCTACTCTACCTTAGTAAAAATCCGATTGCTGAAATGCTTAAGTATTATGGCACAAAAGCTAAATAGTACCAAGGGAAATATAAGACAGAAAGTGAGGTATACAAAAAAAGCTTTGACACTTAATGGTAACCCTGATAAAATAATCAGGAAGTATATGCAAATATAAAATTAATAATAGTAGTGATAGTGACAATAATAATATTAATGACGACATGCATGTCAAATATGAACAGAATAATGACAACATCAACAATAGGGAATTTAAATCACCAGTGGTACTTCCATACAAAGAAGGAGTCTCGAAAATCTTACTTCGAATTCTTAATAATACAGGCAGGAATAAAAGTAGCATTCAACCACACACCCCCCACAAACTCACTTAGAAACAAACTTTGTTGGTAAGTATACAATTGGTGGATGGTGACTAGCAGTGGAATCCAGGATGCGCATTTCGTCCTATTTGGGACTCGTCAACTGGATGTACCTGCATTTCTCAGTGAGTGATGATGTTCCCACCGAGGCTCGAACCCAGTGCCCATAGTTTCAAACGCCAAAGCGTTATCCACTAGACCACTTGGACCACGAGAGCCACCTCTTGTGCAACGGGTCATATTAATTATTGAATTGAACTTTTGATTTTCCCGTCGATTGATTGGACCGAAGTGCTCGGTCTCAGGTTGACATGTCGGCTTCTTGTGCAGATGCTTCGACGATGTCTGGGCATTTAGTTAGTATACAATTGGTGGATGGTGGCTAGCAGTGGTTGGTTAAATAGCCGATCCTGTGGAGCTAATTCAACAAATCAATTCGGTTTGTCTAATACCCAGTCTACAATCATTGTCAGCCCAAATCGGTAGGTCAAAGCAATAGAATGGGGTCAGTTAGACTTGTGGAGCACAAAAATTCAGCAAAATGTGGATTAGTTGACCGAACAAGATAAGGAATCTAGAGAATAGTTCAGCTATAGCACTACCTACAATTACACACGATCACATCACACAACAGGATGAGACAAGATGACAGTTCTAAAATCTAATGTAACAGGGTGGGAGTGAGAGCCATGGAATTCATGATGTTTATTTCATGCTGTTTTGGATTCGTTAACTGGATGGACCTGTTTTCCAGTGATTAATTATATCCCTATTGAAGCATGAACCCACCATCTCCATCGCCTGTGATATTAAATCCAGTTAACAAGTTCTGAATAGGACGAAATGGGTAACTTCAGCTATACAATCTAACAAGCATAATCATATTGACCTTCAGAGATAACCTAAGATTCCATCCTGGGAGCCGACATCTACATGCAGGTCCAGAATTTTGGTAACATATAAGTCAATCAGTTGGAAATAAAAAACACCTTGAGTGGACGTTACAGCTAATTTTGTTTCACTTCTACAGGAATTCGTACAACTTCCTGGCATTGTGTTTACGCTACCTTTTAGATGCATTTTTAGGGTGGACATCTGATAAAGTAATTATATGACAGGCTAAATTAACACAGTCAACAATAGAGTGTGCTCTGGATACTGATTAAAAAAGTGAATAAGCAATGAGTGTTAAACGACTGACTGAACAGTGATAATCATTTGCTTTGATAAGTTGACATAGCGTTATTGAAAAACAAAGTTAACTTGAAAAAGGTCTTATGATGTCATTGTGTAATACATTGCAACACTCTGATGACACATTTACTTACCAGTGTTAATTTACGTGAAAATAGAGAACTGGAAGCTCAGTTATAAAAAAACGCAAAATAATAACAGCTCCAGGAGTAAATGTGGTGATTATGAACACTAGTATTGGTAATCACTGAATGCAGAACATTGACTGGAACAATCTTGATTCAGAAAATCATATCGTTTGCGGATTAAACAATAATTCGGTGCAACATAAACCTCAGCCTAAACGACTTCGAAAAAGCCCTCGACAGAGTCGGCTATGAAGTAATTCGAAAACTACTTCAACGCTATGGAGTGCAGTTATCCAAGTCTTTAAAGACCTCATTCAATAACCATATAACAATTCTAGGTGTCAAGTAACCCACAGTGGAAAACTCACCGGAATAAATAAAGTCAAGGTAGGAATAAAACAAGGTTGCCTAATGTCACCGATGATATTCCTAGTTGTCGTGGACTGGACTGTGCGGAATACCGTACACGGGGTGCAAGAAGACAGAGATAGGTTGAACGGACAAAAAAGCCATAGAAGATTTGGATTTTTGCGAATGATTCATGCTTTATATCACAGAAAGTCGAAGACATACAGGCAAAAACCAACAAGCTGACAGAAGAAGCAGACACAAGAGATAATACTCCAAGTTAACATAGAGAAGACAGAGGAATTTGAAAGAGGTCAGTTCCTCCCCCATTTTTTTGTCTACGTAGCATCATTTCAACTACAAGTGACAGTACAGATGAACATGTCAGAAAACTAGAATCGTTAAAACAAGGCCAATATTCATCAATATGAAGTGAGTTTGAAAGTCTTCTGCACTTCGAGGCATAAAGAACTAGATTTGGATTTTCGACACAAATAATCAACCAGTTAACGCTTCTATGTGAGTCAGAAACTTGACAAGAGCATTACATCCACCTAATAAGTTTCAAAGAGGGTTTCAACTGTTAGCTGTCATTCACTAAACCGTCAAACTGGAGAATTTTTGAAACAGATATAACTCAATCGAACACTATGTGCTCACAAATCTCTAGTTTTTCGCATGTCTAACTGTTTCTTTAAATTAATTCTTAGTATGCCATTTTTTCTTTATTTTCAGACCGTTGACATATTTAGGCATGAAGATATTGAATCATTTCAATGCTCTCAGTGTACTGCGTATACCTAGTCAAGTGTTGATTGGTTGGTTGACAGTTATTGAAGAACATTATCATGTGGAAAATCCATATCATAATGCAACACATGCTGGTGATGTTCTACAAGCCTCAGCCTACTTATTACAACACAGTTTAATAAGGGTAAGTCGTCTGTATTATTTCTAACTTTACATCGTTCCCTTGTGTTCCGTATTATTGTTGACGGTAAGACTGTTTGAGATAGAATTGAGACAGTTTACTGTTATTGAAGTACTGTGTGGTGGTTGAAAATGGCATGAAAACCTAGTGGCTGTGAACAGTCCACGAACTTGACTTGTAACTAGAAGGCCCTGGGTCCGAATCCCTTTGGTGGGTGCTTACTGATAATGAGTCCAAACTGGGATGATAGAAGTAGCTGTTCAGTACTCCGTGCTTGTTTTCAATAGTTCTTTTTTTTTTTTATTTTTTTTTATTTACAGCTTGATTCCACACTGTATTTTTGGTACAAGTATGGAATTTTCAGCATGGATATCGGTAGCCCAAATTTTGCAGGCCGACCATAGATATCAGGTGTGCGTCGGTGCGGGCTCGAACCCCGGACCATGTGCATGGTCGGCAAGAGTCCTAACCACTGTGCCACCAACGCACAATCAATCAATCAGTTATCAAACTTTAATCAACGGGGATTATTTATTTAATCCTGAGTTGGGAAGTTTAAAACTGCCACTACCAATCTAGGTTGCGACCGCGTTCCTACCAGTCACCAGCGAATTACTATTCTGGAGCGGCTTACTAGCCACTAAGCAGGTTATTATTTCACTGTAATTGTTATCTGATTAGCATGGACATCACAAACATATATCTATAAGCTCATCGCCTTGTAGCCCGAAAGCCCTGGGTTTGAACTACGTTGGTGGTTGGGTGGGTACTGACGAAGAGTCATAAACTAGACTGATGAGACAGCTATCCAGTATTGGAGCGCTGATTTCATAATTGTTCTCTAACCGATGTCAGCTCATGATGAAGTCCTGTAACCGATGAAATTCCTGCAAACGGACACTTGAATATTAAAATATTCTATATAAAGCCAACAAAAAACAGACAAATTGTTGAAATAAAAGGATACGGTTTCCGATATATAACCAGTGTGAGTACTTTTAGTTGAATCATTTGTATGATGTTAAGATGGGTTGGCAGGAATGTGAAAGAAATTACAGACTGCTCTCCAGTCTTCTATACACTATGTGTAAGAGAACATGTAGTTTTACGAAGAATGGCTCTCTACACATTCGAAAAAACGGTTTAAGCAACCAGATACGTATCTTCGGGCCCAAATTCTCATCAGACTTTACAATTGCATGATAAAATATTAGTCATAGAGATCTGAAACAGTGCTGATCAATAGGATCAAACAGAATCGAAGAGAATGCAAGTAGAATAATACTAATAGTAACTGCGATAACTATTCTAAGTCGGGGTTAAAGGCCACGGAAGTGAGAGGCCTTGAACAAACCTTTTTCGAACACAAAATTTGGTCTGCCACAGTTATGCGTAGCAATCGAAAGCGTAAAACCTTACAGGATTTGAATGACACCTGTGTAAAGACGGAATTTTTTATCAATCCTGTGATCCGTATCCACAAGATATGCTTATATGGAACATCTGATTGACTTTGCAACTTCTTTACCTTACTAACCACGTTGGACAACGTTCCAGAAAGTGATGGAGGGGCGTCCCTAGTCATTCTACCCTTGTAATTGTCACCAGAAGAGCATTTAAATTTATAAAAGTGCACTGAAGTGGGCAACAGTAAGGAATAGACATCACAGTCGAATGACCTTGAACCAACCAGTCGGATCACTCAGCATTACAGATTGATGCTTTCCACAATATTCCTTGCAGTTTCATCCTGATTTAGGATTAAAGTTAAGGTAGGACCAAGGTAACATTATGAATAAGGTTAGACTGAAGGTTGAAAAGAAGATTACGAGTAGCACCCAGTTGTAATCCTGAGCACAGATCTGAATGGTTGATTTAAGGTCATTTGTCGGCGGTGTCCTTTCCTTACTGTTACACTGAACATTGGTGGTGAAGTTTTCTTAGGCTTGTAGTCGGCTACAGCTAAATGCAACGACTGGTAATCTCTAAGTGCAATGTTGAAATGCCATCTAGGGAACATGACAGGCACGAGATTTTCTCTACGTTTTGTTAGAGTAGGTATCGAGGACGCAGGTAACTTTAGTCGCATTAATAATCGTTCTTATATCAAAGCAAATCACCCCTACTGGAGGCAGATAAAAAGCTTAATGACGCGAATTAGTGAAGCTAACTCTCACTGACTTACCATAGTGTTCCTTGAAGTCCCTCTTGATGGGAGATAGTAGTCACAGAAATTATTCCAAACTGAGATTTTCACTTAAAACATATTCCACATAGCAGATAGTAGACATATCAGCAGAAGCAAACGAAGCTTTTCTGCGTCAGTGAAAGCATTTTTCACTGTCTAAAGACATCCACCAACTTCATCCGTTGCTCGATTCTGAACCTCAAAGAATCACCTGGAAAGTATATAGGCAAGCAGTAATGAACTTTGGCTGAGAATCAACTAAAAACGCATTACTAGTATTAGATGTTGGGAGGCAATCGTCAGGAATTCCTACCTGCCCTACGTTTAGTGCTGGTTGGTAGTCACCAGTCAGTCAGTAAGGTGTGTCTGCAATCGCCTTAGAGAAACTCATGTTTCTTCTGAGATTTGAACTCATAACACCACATACGGAGTTCTGCACTCAAAGACGTTAGCACTGAGGTATTCAGGCTGATGATTGACCTCCTGTAGGACTGCATTCTATACTTTGATTGGATACTAGCTAGAAACTAAAATGGTCGCCATATTGCAAACTTAACTGATTGAGTTCAGTCTGCACCAAGCAGGGGGAATAGACACATTGCACTAATTACTAACTAGTGTCCGATCAAACCTTTTGTTTAACAAAGATGTAGAAGGAAATGAAGATTAAGTGGATATAAGCCTAGGAGAAAATTAAATGACATCACATGTCTGGACATCGAGTAGAATCCGAATAAAATCCTCTATGTTGAGTGTAAGTTCAAGTGTGAAATGCAAAAGGTCATGCGAGGACAAAATGGAAGCTAGTAAGGTATGATACAACCAGCTGAAAGTGGTCTCAGACAGCAGGGTGCAATGGAGATATGCTCCTGAGGTCCTATGTTTTGCAAAGAAGCAGCAATAACGTAATAATGATTTAGATTTTCAGTTTCGTGGATATTTTGTCATTAATTTTGTGGTAAATTTCGCCACTAAATGACATCAGTTCGAGAACCTTTGAAAAGTAACGAGCAATAGCTGAAGGCTGTTTCTGTTCCACCTTTAAACGTTTCACCAATATGCACACATGATCCCACCTAGGATTGAACCTACTACCTTTCTTTCACGAGGCCAACCTATTCACCTTTCAGTCAATAGGTTGTGATCCGAGGACCTGGTAGTTCGAAACTCCGATTCACGATATATATATACCGTCACCAAAAACTAGTGCCATCGCTAAGCAGTATCCCAAACGGACTGAAGATTTATATTCACATTTTGAGTTTTGTATGGAATTCGATTCATTGTGCTGTAGATTAAAAATTACAAAATACATTCTGTATTTTACTATTGAGATAACTGTTGGTTGGTTTCTATGATTGCTTCTTCCCTTCTTTCATTTTCAAAACTTATTTTTCTTAAAAACATTTTCTCCTAGTCAATATACACAAATACGGATGAAGTGGCAACACTTCTAGCCGCCATTGTACATGATGTCGATCATCCAGGCAGAACTAATCCATTTCTTGTGAATAATAATGATCCATTGGCAATTCTATATAATGATATGTAAGTGGATGTGCGTTTGTTCGTGTGTGTATTTTATCTGACCTTGTTTTTATTGTAAACGTGTTTTTTTGGTTTGTTAGGCAGTTGACAATTTACATCATCTCTGGCTTAGTCGACATGAATCGATTGGCTATCGACCAAATGACGTGTGTATTGCACAGTAGCAGTTCACTTGTCCTCCTTTATGGTCATGAGTGAGATATAACCATTGAAGGTGGAAGACGTGAAAAAACTAACTAGCTAGCTGGCTTTCTTTGATCGTAGGTGTATGCGTTCTCTCTACATCCCGTGTTAGACGGTAGGCGTAATAGGGTGGGTGATTAATAATGAGGTTAGGCTTTAGTCTAGTTTTTAGCAGGTAAGGAGGGAAAATCAATGGACGAGCTTGTGAAGTTACATCGGTTGAGTGAGATGGTTAGGGCAGCATCTGTAACGCATTTATGCCTGGTCCTCTCCTTCTCCCGACGGTCACAGGATGGTTCAGGTTGGAAAAGAGCCAGCTAGTGGTGGTCAAGCCAAGCCGTGTTTTCATTAGTCAATCAAATCCATAACAGTCGATTTAAGCTAGTCAGCCAGCCAGTGACGTAGAGAAGTGTAGAGTGGTCGGCCAGCTAGCTGGATGGTTTCGTGTCCTCGTGATGGTAAGAACCAATGATGGCTTGAGACAGACAATTGGTGGTAGGGCTCAAAATCCTCGTTCTCAATGGGGGTGGGGAGATGCATTCACTCTTTGTGAGTGATGTGTCACCTCCATCCAATAAAGCTCTATTGTTTTTGCATATTACCATTATTCTTTTTCCTGGACTTACACTCTGTTTATTGTCCCTCTCTTATGAATCTCTCTTTACTCTGTTTGCTTGATTTGTGTGCTACGCAAAAATGTGGCAAGCTGAACTGTTGCACTTTCGAGAAGAGTTGAAACCAGTCAGCTAATTGGTCGCTAGTTAATTTTGCAAACTGATATTGTTCGAAATATTAAGAGGACGGAGTATTGGTCATTGGTTTATATCTATTATGAAATTAAGTGTGTGAAATAGCTTCGTACAGAATGTGCAGAATCCATTCACTTCATCAAAAGCATTCCAAAAAAGCCTCGGACTCAAGTATCTTTAATAAATATTGTTCAGTGCGGTGGAAGCAATTTTCATTTCTAGGCATATAATGTTTCTTCTCAGTTTGAAAGTCTTTGACAGAAAGACAAACGATTAGATTTGTAGCCGATTTTTCTCATATTAACTTTCATACGAAAGTTGAGGACCACATGTATATTATCTGCATAACAAGGGAACTAGATAATGTCGCAATATAATTCGGGTTTTAGTTAGTGAGTCCTTTTTCCAACAATCATTTTCTTGTCAGCGACTAGTAGTATGTCCACGATACTTCAGCATGAAATTAGTTGACTGTCGTAGTAAGCGGTCATTTCTAGAGAGGAAAAGAAAAAGCCAGGTATCTCTGAAAATATTCTATAGTAATCGAAATAATTTGAAGATTTTAGGAGAATCATATGACCATGTGTTTCACTATAGGGGTTGATCAAGAATGCACAACACAATAGTGACAGCCTGGAAATATTCACTGAAATTTAATGTAAACCTTTGTGTTTTGTATGTGGCTTCGCTTGATTGCCACCTCCGCTCCTGAGAATTCATACATTTACTACTGATTGCAGATAAGCCTCTAGCATTGTGCAATCAACATTATACTTCCAGCAATTTTAATGAAAACGGAGTAACATACCCTATGAGTGTAAGGTAGTTGTGGGAAGTTTGGCATTGTTGCCATTTCTTAGCCGCCAAAAAATTAACAGACAATCTACTGAGGTTCAAGTGGATTTGAGTTAGCCTTAAATAAACAAAGTGAAAGATCAACAGACAAAAGATGTTTGATCATTGATACTGATTTAATGATTGGACTGAATTTTCAGCATAAAAGTGCAATATATCATATTACTGTACTTCAGATAAACACGGCGTCAGTTATTCAGCGGTAAAATGCTCGCCAAACAATCAAATATTCCATGATTCTATCACCGGTCATCGTATACCTTCAGCCAGGATAAGCCCGACATAGACGGAAGGCTGGGGGGCATGACTGTCACTGAAACCTCAGAGTTCAACCTTGAAGTCCCATGTTCCACTGGGAATGCAAAGGAATAAACTAAAGAATAAGAAGATCACGGGAACACACACAAACAAAGCCAAGGGGAAAAGGAAGTTCAAAGTAACTATAGTGAACAGAAATGTGCAGAGGGAAGATTAATTAGATGGAGAATAGTGCAAGTTTAATGGATCTAATAAATCACAGAGAATAAATCCATCTACGCCTACGAGAGTGATTTTCAGTCACGTCAAGAATTTATATCTCCAGGCATTGATTCTTAGCATTTTCATGACCACTACCAGACAATGTATACCTCCCGGTATGTACAAAATCAACAGTTGGATGGATGCGATATTTTGACTTGAACACATTTCCTTGTTTTCCAATCCACACTGTATCAATTAACATAGCTGGACGTGGAAGGTGACAGTTCAGCACACTTACCGGCAAAGTTAAACTTTCGACACCACTAATAACCAATCAGCAAACGACCTTGAACGAACCAATTACATTAAAGAGGTATATATGATGAATGGAAATGTATATTTATAGAAAAAAAGCACAAAATAGAGAATGAAAAAGTTACATGGGATATCTCTCTCGAGCGTGTGAGAGAAACATCTCCCAGTTTAGCATGGGACTGTCAATGCTTTTCCATCTGCTATCCTTTCGACGAATCCCTTTCGGAGGGAGGTGTCATACAAACCTATTACCCAAATATTGTTCGCTCGCTGGCGACCACGGTTGTATTTCTTTTTTACCAGCACTGTCTCATCGACACGCACGATAACGTCTTCCCCACCTAGCAAACAAGTGATTTTCCCCATTTTCCATGATGCGATGTCTCTGCAATGCTGGTACCACTGAACTGTTGAGACATGGCTATTCTCCATCTCGGCAGCTGCTGCTCTCACAGCCTGTTTCAACACCTATTAGTTGCAGATATACAAAATCTGGGTTAGGGAGAGATGTGACCTAGTGAAAGTAAGTTCCTACGAAATATTAAAATTATCAACTTACCCTCTCCAGATGAACAAACCCATCAGTTGATTTGGTATAGCTTTTAAAAGTAATGATACAACCACACAAACAAATTCGCTCTTTCCAGAGCAACTCAAATCCAGGAAATACTGGAAAACAATAACCTCCTCGACTTGCAACTGTAGCCTTGTAAGGTCACGCATTAGAAATGAATCAAGCGCTATACAACATTGAACTGCGTTCGTGAACCTCATTGGATAATTCGACATCGTTCGTGAATCTCATTGGATAATTCGCTGATTGGTAGTTAGTGGTGTCGAAAGTTTAACTTCGCCCACTTACGTTTTATCTCAGACAGTCTGGAGGATGTATAATCCCTTCACTTTTTGTTGGATTTTAGCAGATATATTTTGAAACCAAAGCTAAATGATTCTTCATAGATGTCTACCTTTTGGGAATGCTATTTGAAGCCGTTTTTTATCAAACATCAACATGTGGCGGAGATTAATAGATGCTCTGTTGGGCAGAAAAATGATAAAGAGTTTAATTTCGTACATTTTCATGTTGGAGGTGATGAAGATAACAACACAAGCACCAGTCACAATCAACGGAAGAGATTTTACAGAGGTTACTTCCATCACTAGGAAACATTGCATCAGTTGCAGACGACAACATCACGTATAACGATGACAAAATCAGTCTGGATCAGAAATGTAGGACAAACCTTCATCACTTTGAAATCGGTTTGAAAATCTTCTGCATTCCACAGCATAAACAACAAAATTCGAATTTTCGACCCCAATGGTAAGTAAGTCAGTGCTTCTATACGGGTCAAGCACTTGGCTACTGTGTCACAAAAAGTATTTCGAACAGGCTACTGCACTAATTTTATGAACAGCTGCCTTCGCTTCCTTCAGATTACCAACCAGAGAGAGTCAGTAGCAAGAAACTCTGCGAATGAACCAGTCAACAATCTACTGATCAGCAAATATGTCGAACTCAATGAAAATAGATTGGATACACACTTAGAAGACCGTTGGGTGACATCACTAGAGTTGAATCAAACGGGAGACGACAGGTTGGGATTTCGGGGTGATGTGTAAGAAATTGTATAAGGGGAGGCAAGAGAATACGGGTGTACGTAGGGTCAACTGAATGCAACCGAAGGGAATAGGATGATGTGAAGATGTTCTACGGAAGCCATATTTTCCACTTGGAGCTCAAAGGGAAAATAATAACATTAATGTCGGCTATAATTCCAACCCCTAATAGAGACAGTATATGAAGGACAAGATGGGAAAAAAGTGACTAACATCAACTTGGGCATGGGATTGTCAAAATTCTAAATCATCATCACAATAGAAAACTAGTATGAATAATTTTAGTTGAGAGATTTCCATTAAACCTGGCGAAAAATGGACTGTTCGTAGTTTTAGACTTCATTAATGTTTCTCTTTTTGTTCAGTTTTTAGAAAAATAAATTTGCAATAATTTAGGAGCTTTTATCACTATGATGATCATCATCACGTGTAAGGAAAACATGCAAACGGCTGGTGTGATTACATAACTGATTTCTACTTCTCTGTTTTAGCCTCCTTTTTTAACTCGACCATACTTTCGGAGGTTATGAAAATAACCAACCAACAACAGCAACAACATCCAGCGTCAATCACCATCAACGGGAGGGATTTGAAAGAGGTTACTTCATTCACTTATCTACGGAGCATTGTCTCAACTGCAGGAGGAGCGGACGAGGATGTCGAATCGAGAATCGGGAAGGCGAGAAACACATTCATCAGCCTGAAATCAATCTGGAAATCTTCGTTAATCAGCATCACCAACAAAATTCGGATTTTCAATACAAACGTAAAGTCAGTTCTTCTATACAGATCAGAAACTTGGCGGGTCACAAAGAATATTTCCAACATGCTGGCTATTGCAGACATTTATCAACAACTGTCTTCGCTCTATACTGAAGATCAGATGGCCGGAAAGAATCACCGACAAGGAATTATGGGAACAAACAAAGCAAGAACCAATCGCCCAACAAATATGCAGGAGAAAGTGGAGATGGATCGGACACTCGCTGAGGAGACCACTGGGTGACATCGCGCCAAGCCCTCGAGTGGAACCCGAAAGGGAAGCGGCGTGTGGGACGTCCAAGGGTGACATGGAGGAGATCGTGTGAAGAGGAGTTGAAAGAGTATGGACTAACATGGACGCAGGTGCAGGTGAAAAGTACAGCAGAAGGAAGACAGAAGCAAATGGAGACGTGCAGTTGAAGCCCTATGTTCCACTAGGAACCCAAGGGAGCAATAATAATAATACTTTCGTTTTCATCAGGTCTGGAGTTTTATGTGTGAATCTGGAATCTTCGTTTTTCTGTCCAATTAATCTCACACCACCCCAAGTTAATAGACGTCTCTACTATATCTTCGCGTCCTCGTTGCGTCACAGCGTTTTGCTGAGTACAGCTCATTGATTTGAACTCCCCATAAGTAATCTAAGAAAGCTAAAAAGCTACTCGAAGATGAAAATGTATTGCAACAACTCATGATGAATCTCATCCAAATACTGGACAATCCCATAACTTGATTGGACTTTAGTCAGTAACTAGCGTAGTGTGTCTAGTCCTTGTTGTCGGTGCAGACGGAATTCTGTCAGTCAATTCTGCAATGTGGCCAACATTCTATGTGGTCTGCTATTACGGTGCACTTTGTTTTGCTGATATTAAATGGTTGAAGGCAATCAGCACGTAGCACCGCTTGACGTGAGCTTCATGTTAGTTGGCACTCACCAGTCAGTCAGTCAGCAAGGCGTGTCTGCAATCACCTTGAAAGAATTCATATCTCTTCTGACCAAAACGCCAATTAAGGACTAGACACATTACGCTATTTACGAATTAGTGACCCATCGAAGTATTCAATACAGTCCTACAGGAGGTGAATTGCGAGCCTGAATAACTCACTGATAACGTCTCTGACTGAAGAAATGCACTGAGTGATACGAGTTTTAGTCTGGCAAGAGACACAAGTTCACTGGAGATTGCAGGTATTCCTTTCTGAATGACTGCTGAGTTCTACCTAGCACGAAGCGTGGGTGAAGTAAGGCTTCTTACCGATTGTCTCCAACCAACTAATATGAACGACCACATTTAGGGATCCCCAAACAAACTTACCAAAACAGATCACATTACAAAAGAAGATCAATGGTGACTAAAATCCACTGGACCAATTCTACCCCGACTCTACTCCAAGCCCAAAATACACATATCAAACTCCTGGGTTGGGGCCCTCGGGACTCTAAGAATCAATGGCTGGAGACAATAGGTGACATGGCTCAAAATCGTTGTCAATGGCCAGCGCAGATGTATTCAGTCTCTGTAATCTTTCATATTCCTTTCTACCATTACCCATTCTGTTTCACTCTTATACTTGTCAGACTGTATTGATCCTCTTCACTCATCTTCTTGTCTACCTCTGTGTGCTATTTGGAAGGTGGCAACTCGAACTGCTGCACTTCGGTGCCAAGTTCTATGTTGAATCCAGACAGACAGATATCAAACTTCCCCTTACGACTAATCATATCACTCCCAGGAACCCGAAACATACAATTTATCCGAAGATCTATATAGAAAATTGAATCACTTAACTGAATCCTACCATCAGACCAGAAAGTCTTCAACCTATATTTTTAAAGAAAATTAAATGCATTCAAATAAACAACCAGCAAAAAAATAATGTTTAAAACTTGGAGACTGTGGTAGTAGTTAATCGAATCAACTGCAAATACATGTAGTAGGAATGATTCAACACCTGCCCAACCAGATATCGGGAAAATTCTACTACCCCTACGTCAAATAGAAGAGGACAATGAAAACTATAAAAGTCAAGTTTCGAAGTCGTGTGATTATCATCGATATGATTATGAACAATAAATTTTGTTCGAAACCTTGTCATCCAGTAAATAATAATACTGTTTCACAGTGTGATATATCTAATAAACAAACTAATATGAAAAAATAATGTCACCTTCCGATGTGACAGCATCATATACTTCGATTGGATAGAAATTAGCGAAAGAAACGATGGAGCAATTACTCAACAAAGATGAACACATCCAACGACTCTCAAGTTGGATGGTGGAACGCATAAATCTTCCCGCATGATAATGAGGAATAAACTGTAACCAGAGCGTCATCAGTAAATAGTACTGTACAACGCTTTCGGACTTCATCAAGTAAATTTTCTCCATAGAGGATTTACACTCCCCTCCCCCACATTGCCTAAGTTCGACTCTTGTAGAAACCAGATATGTTACTTCTCCTTTACCAACTAAATGAAAGCACACAACCAACTTCAGAACTGATTATTCTTGGGATTCATTGAAAGCCATAGCTGTCTGAAGAAAACCACAAGAGTCCAAGCAGCTAAGACACTTTATGATTGTGCGCAGATGTTGTACTACCTGTCCAAATATTTCATTATCACCATATTTGCTGCTACATTTCTTCCCCCGGTGACGTTACAAGTGACATACTGTCAAAACTGTTGCCGTTGTCAGAGCACTAATATATAAATATCATGCTTAAATGACTTCTGAACATCCCTAGAAGGTTGTACGTCTCATCAGCGTTTACATTGGTCCTCCTTTTGTTATATTTTAGCTACAAAAAACGTTTAGTGCACACCTTTAGATTATAAAAGCTGATTTCTAAAGGACGTGTCTTAAAACTCGCACTTCTGTAGAGTTCAAAGTAATTAAGTAGGGAATTGTGGGGTAACACATACTGTATGAAAGCCTGCTTAAAATTTTGACTACCAAAGTACCTCCATCAATGTATCGTACATAGTTTCTCTTATTCAGTATGTTTAAATCTAATAAAATACAAGCTCGCTCTAATAGTGTTATTTACTCTTGCGAGTATTCAAAACATTTAAAAGCTACGATTTCGAAAATTTCTACTAAACATGAGAAAAAGCATTACCGTTGACAGCACGTTATATCAGTATATGAGATAACTGTTCCTGGGTTGTGTCTTTGCTTCATAAAATGTACTCCTGAACTTCCTGTAATCAAAATTGAACAAAATTCTGTCGAGTATTTCTCGAAGGAACCAAGGAAGAGATTTCATAATGGTGAATTGGATCGCACACACACGATCTACTGTCAGTCAATTAATCTTTATTATTGGTGAATCCTGAACAACGAAGAGAAAATATCATGGAATAAACTCTGGAAAATTCTGTACATTATATAAACATTGTTCTGAATAAAGCTTTTATTATCATGATTATTACTTAAAAACTTAGTTATTGTGGACATGTAAAGGGATTACTTTAACGATTCATCTAATGGAACTTTATCTCCCACTTCTGGTGGACAACAGCTCTATCTATTGGTTATAAGTTTCCAGACCGTAGGTGAAACGAACTTCCTGGAAAAATTTGAGCGTCTAGTCAGATTGATTCATTATAAATTATTTAAATTAATCCCAGCGTGTTAAGAAAATCAGAACAAGATTTTTCTGAACGTTACGCTGTGTAAGCCACAGGGTCTTCAACAGATTTATTCGAATTTTTACTAATCATCAAAATATATAGTCAAAATTTGTTTTACATAAATTGAAGTCAGTTTATTTGAAGGTCATTTGTCCATGGTTTTTAATGCCTTTCAATGAATCATACCCGTTGCATTGGAACTTTTTAATGAGAATAGTGGCATTCACTTTTAACCCCTTCTTAACACTTTGTTTTTATTCTGTTAGCGCCGTCTTGGAAAGTCATCATGTGGCGTTGTCATTCGAGTTAACCCTGAGATCACCGGAAATCAATATTTTCCAAAATCTTACTCGGTAAGTAACAGTTTTTGTATATTCTTCCTGAGATATTGTGATATTTTCTACAGTTATTTCCCGCTGATAAAGCATAGGGCTTCAGCAGCACGTCTCTTATTTCGTTCTGTTCTCTACAGTCCCCTTCATTAGCTAGCCCCACGACTTCCCACGGTCTGTTATCTCCTCTTCACACGATCTACTACGTGTCACTCTCAGACACTGTCAGATTCCACTCAGAGAATGGCCTGGCTGGTGTGAGACGTCGTTCGACAGTGTCTTCAGCATTTGTCCAATCCATCCCCATATTCTAATCCACATTTGTTAGGCGATAGTTTCTTCGTTTTTTTTAATGTAGCTGTAGAACTTGAGCACTGTGATAGAATGCAATTTCCTATTTTATAAGTTTATTTCAAATATCACACAGCGATGCCACGCATAACCATATCAGTTAATTCACATGGCTTCACAGTTTGCCTTTTATACTTATATTCTCTCTTTCTCTCTCTACCCCTTCCCCTTGTTGTTTGTTGCTACCTTCCATATCTCCGGCATAGGCGTTGCGTCATTCCGACTGCACGTGTGTGGTGTTGAATCGATAAACAAAGCTTCAGTTATTAACATCTCTGTGTCGCTCCACCTGACTATATTACTTTTCAATACTCTCACCTTCTCCCATCCACCATATTTGGTGAATACATGCAAGTGAATGCAATGCAGTGGCCGAGTATTTTTGTAGGTTATTTAACATATCAAGGTCAATCATTCTGCCTCTAGATAAATTTTTATATTCGAATTATCTAGTTGACCCCAATCCACTTATCTCATTTATACCGTTGACGCCACAGTCATTAAATGGTATTTGGTAAAGTATAATATTTTTCAAGTATTGGTCTGTAGGGATTTGATTGACAAGTTACAGGATTTCATCATGAGCTGACATCAGTTAGAGAACCAGGGGAAAACCACTTGGGGGTACTGAACAACTGTTTCTTCAACCTAGTTTGGGACCTTTCAACAGTACGCACTGACACTGCGGGGTTCAAATCCAGGACCTTCTGATTACAAAGCGAGCCTGGAGATCCTTCAACAGCCACGAGAACCCGATCCAATGGACGGCCTATGAATCCTAATTTCTGCCAATTCACGACATAACGCAGCCACTTCACAATGTCTCCTTTGATGAGTTACTGCCTCATCTTCAACCTGATGTACCCTACTGTTCAAGGCTTCACACCAGAATCTCAGGTCACTGCCTGAATAGGGATCACTGGTTGAATGGTATACGAGTTCGTCTTGTAACCAGAAGGCCCTGAATTCGAACCCTGGTGAATGCATACCGCTGAAGAGTCCCAAACTGTAATGAAACAGCTGTGCAGTACTCCTAGGTGATTTTCTAATGGTTCTCTAACCTATGTCAGCTCATGATAAAATCTTACATTATTTTTCTTAATTTAATCTACTGGGTCCTTAAGCCGACAATGCTTATCTCTAAAAGAGCTGTTTGGTTGGTTGGTTCAAATGACACCCCGACTAATCGTAGCCTAATTCAGAATAATTCGTAATCCCTCTGACGTTCCTTCTTTATGTATCAGTATTACAGGCGCTTCGAGTTCCTTCGATCCCCTAGTTTCTTGCTGCTGCTTCTTTCTAACTAGTCGGCCAACTGACCTTTAGTATCGAGGCGAGAAGACATCTGTTGTTAGTGATCTGCCACCAGCCGTTGGAAAGGATTTTGGTAACTAACGCACAAGTTTTATGAACCATATAAAGAAACTGACTAAGTTGATATTGGTGTTGATAATCCTAATTCAGTTGTTTATGCTCAATGCAGTGGATTTCCGAACTAATTTCAGAGTTATAGAGCTCTCTTGACTTTCCAATCCATGCTGATTTTGACATAAACATCCATGCTATTACTTGTGTGTTTGAAACGATGCTTACTGGCTAGATACAAATCGTTGGCTTTCGCCTATAAGACTTCGAGTTTCTGTAACATTAGACATAAATCATCTGTGCGTCGGTGGCACAGTGGTTAGGACTCTCGCCGACCATGCACATGGTCTGGGGTTCGATCCCCTGCCGGCGCACACCTGATATCTATGGTCGACCTTCAAAATTTGGGCTACCGATATCCATGCTGAAAATTCCATACTTGTACCAAAAATACAGTGTGGAATCAAGCTGTAAATCAAAAAAAAAAATCAAAAATCAAATCTTCTGGAGTCTTCTTATCAGTGGTCCTGCGTATGCATGTCTTCTACCTCTCCATGCGCGGTGTAACGCATGACACCCAGCTCATTAAAACTGGGACTATCATCAGTGATAATAGGAAGGCAGTCTTGTGTTACTCCTGTATTCACTTCATGGGTTTCGTTGAGTTTTCCCTTGTGGATCACCTCACACGATAACACCAGCTCATTAAATAACTCAGGATATAAGGAAATAAAAAGTAATTTGAACTAAGCAAGAATTAGAAATGTAGCATAATACTATGAACTCCTTTTTTTTTATTATTTCGCGGATTCTTTTCAACTGCTTGGAACCCAAACAACACTGAAATTTATAAATTACAAAACAAGGTATGAAGAAACTTTTACCACTTTGAGAACATGTTACTGATAGAATCTATAAGTAATATAAGTCAGGAATCACGTTTAGTCTTTAAATTATTCCGTGTTAAATTAATAGAACATTTATGGGATAATTAGAAGAAAATATGACTTAATAAAAGACTGTATAACTGTGTTTTATGTATATAATCATCGTGATAGTGAAGGGTCAACTACTATCTTCTTTAGCAGCGTATATATATTCTGTTAAAACCTTTTGACGATGTTAAATTGGATTTTTGGTTTTCCCATCGATTGATTGGAACGAAGTGCTCGGTCTCAGGTTGGTATGTCGGCTTCTTGTACAGATGCTTCGACAATGTCTGGACATTTAATCATTATTTAATTGGTGGATGGTGACTAGCAGTGGAATCCAGGATGCGCATTTCGTCCTATTTGGGACTCGTGGTCAGCTGGATGTACCTGCATTTCTCAGTGAGTGAAGATGTTCGGTGGATTCCACTGCAAGTCACCATTCACTAATTAAATAGTTTTGACGATGATTATTTCAGCAAAAGGTAGTTACAAACAAGGTTCCCTTTGCCTTGCAACTATTTTGAACACCTTGAGAATGTTTGCAGTGACCGAACCCAACTCGTTTTGGTCGAAACACAGAGAACCAATCCTTTCTTCACACTGCATGCCTGCCTGAAACTCCCTTGATAAAAAGCACAGTCACAAAAAGCTACTCCAGAGACAGGGAAAAGATGATCCTTTGTAACTCGAATTCATGCATGGTTCTATTCAATAATAATAATAACATCGAAAACTCAAAATTACCACAATATTTCTGTTAGGCAGCTATACAGGCAGTGTAGTTTTCTAAGTGCAAAACAATTACTGTGGTACAAAATTAGTTAATTGAAATTCAACTGTAAGAAGAACCTTAGAATCAAGTAGAATATTCCGGACAAGGTGGAGTCTAAAACTTTGTCCACAGGAATCACACATCAAGACTTCCTACAGGAAGTCCAAGTTCAGAATGATACAGATTCACTCAAACAAAATCTTACCAACAACACATTATCACTTTACACATAACCACAAAGAGAAGCATTAAAATTCGAGATTTAATAGGGACAAAGACAAGTAATAAGGATCAAGTTAACGTATGATATGCAAATGTAGGGGCGTCAGTGGCACAGCGGTAGAATGCCCACCAACCACGTATGTGGTTTGGGGTGCTATCCCCGGCCGGAGCACTCCTTTACCTTGCTGAACCAGTAATAAGATTGGTAAAGAGGGAAGTTTGAATATGAGACCAGCAACTATATCCCGTAAAAATAATAAGACACCACTGCTACCGAAACTTCAAAGCTCAAGCCTGAAGCCCCCTATATTCCACAAGGAACGTTAAGGAATAAATAAAATAATAATAATAGTGCAGATGTCGAAGTAATGATATACAGTCCACCAGAAAAATGAATAATGCATTGTTACGAACTGTGATCAAGATTTACCCAAATAGTTCCAAAATAATTCAGCTCTGAATACAAAGTAGATATATGTAAAAATTATATTTGTATGGTTTCAGTGAAAAAGTGAAAAAAATAATTCCAACGTTTCCTGAGTTCAGAAAACTGGTCCAAACTTCTTCAGGAAAATTAATATGCACATATGCATATATATATAATATATACATGTATATATATATGTAAAGGAAACATCTTGTCTTCGGAAACCTCACCCAGCCATATGAGTCATGAAACAGGCATCAAAATATAATAAACAAACAAAATTGTCTAATTGCATGGAAGATTTCACCAATACTTGAAAATTTTTTTTGAATTGTGATCAAAATTTGACCTCAGGCTTACAATTATTAGTCTACTTTTGTTGAACACTGTAAACAGTGTGTAGTTTTGCATCAGATTTTTATTGACTACATTTGATAGTTCATGGTCATGAATAACTGATTATGAGAAATATATATATGCAACATGCTACAGGACGAGTTTTCCTGGAGTTCTCGGTGAGAGGTCGCGACCAGTGAGGTTCATCCAGTAAAGTGTAAAGATTGATATAAGTATAAAACTTGGGCACTGTGGTAGAGTGTAACTCCATTATGGATAAGATTTTATTTTGATAATTCACACAGTGTTGTACAGTTATATTAACTGATATATATAACTGTACAACACTGAATTATCAAAATAAAATCTTTTCCATAATAAAGTGTCAAGATGGAGTTCCAGCCGATGACATTGGTTACTGGTCGCGCTAAAATCCCGAATTGGTAAAAGTCAGAACTCATGGGCTGGCCATTGAATCGGGTCGCAGTGGCTGAATGGTATATGAGGTTGCTTTGTAGCCTGAAGGTCCTGTGTTCGAACCCCAGTGGGTGCATACTACCGATGATTCCCAGACTAGGATGAAACAGCTGTATATTACTACTTTGTTTCCAATGATTCTCCAGCTGATATCAATCCGTTGTCAAACTCGAAAAATAAAACTAATGCTTACATATCAACTCTTGATAATATAAGTGTGTATGTAGCATTCAGTGCTGTGTGTATGAGGGAACAGTTGTAGACACTTGTTAGCCTCTCCATAAGAAGATACAGACAATCGAGAATTTAGATTATTTATGACTGAATAGTGATATATATATATATTCATTTTTAATTAATAATCAGGACTTGCCATGCATCAGCTAATAGCACAACACGTATCAAATATCTAGATCTCAGAGATCCTGAACTTTTCGCTGGTTTCAAGTGATAACGAAACAGATTTACAATGGTTAATCACTGCTAAAGTTCGTAAATAAACGTTAATATAATATACAACAACACTTCTAATCGTATTTATCCAGTCTTCTGCCAACCAGTACACGATTAAGCAATGACAGCCTTCCTGTTTCCCACCAATGAAGACTAGTTGTAATAAACAAACTACTCGATGTTGACCTGCATTAACACCGTCCATGTTCAAATTTTTGAGATTCACCCATATTATATGAAAGGCGTCTGCTGTCAGTATTTCTTTATGCAATCCAAAACCTTTCTTCAGAACCTTGATCCTACTAAAGTCGATCTTATGTTTCATTTCTGTCGCATGCTGTTCAATAATAGATCTGTTTTCTAGTTTCTTCAAATCTGCAGACGTCTTTTGAAACACCTTTAGACACTGTTTATTCTCCTTTACTCTTGTGTTTACCTGTCTGGAAGTTTATCTTACAGTTTCTCTCCCCACAACTGATTTGGTACACGCAATGCTATCGGTTGTCTTCTTCTGTTTTACCCCTAATCTTCATCAGTGATGGTCCTAAGGCATTCATGGCACTTAAATACACTCTTATGTCATGATTTTTAAGAATTCGCTTTATTTCATCCAATAACAACTACAAAGTTAGTCAAAACATTTAAATCTTGTGACTAGATTGTTCAGGAGGGACATTCCAAACAGTCTTTCCGCTACACTGTCCACAAGATGACTACTATCCGACAGCTAGCGTACATTTATTTCCTGATGTATATACACCATAGGAATTACATTGGGAGATATAAGATTGATAAGCAAATAAACGACATTGAATTAACCATGCAAAACGACACGTGCAAATGTTTTTTTTCAGGTTATTGTTCAAACAGATAAGCGGAAGGGAGTATGAGAGATAACAAAATTAAGATAAAATGAATTACATTACGCTACAATTACATCACTTCGATAAACAATTAGATAGCGTGCAGTTCCCTAGTGTTTACTGTCTGTTAGTCTATTATTCTAAGGTTCTTTTGTTATGTGTTCAAGAATGTGGACAACAGCCTTTCTTTCTCTCTGTCTGTTCTCCTGGTATAGTATGTGGTTTACCTGTTAGTCAAAATTGTTAGTCGTAAAAGTACCATCATCAGGTTTGAAGCCGATTATCTTCTTAATCAAAAGGATATATTACTGATAATTTTGATAAGTTTGACTGATGAGACTGTCAGGATGAAAAATCAATAAATGTTGAGAACTAAATATCTGTTGTCCTGAAATTCTATTTCGTATTACATGCAGTAGGAATCACTTGAACTTAACAACATTTTGATTTGCCGGGGAACACATAAACACGCAAATATTGTTAATCCTAAAACAAGTTGTTTGCTACTAAAAGCCGTTTATTTACAAACGCAATATATGTCTAATGTGGATATATACAGCAACCAGCACAGTATGAAGAAAAATGTATTGAGAAAATTCTTTGTTCTTTTGAGAAATGGCCTATCGCACACTGTCACCCAGTGGGGTTCCCTCAGAGTGTGTTCCATCCATCTCCAAATATTTGTTGAGCGTTCAATTCTGTGTTGGTTCATTACTACAGTCCCCTGTCTTTATTTTCTTTTTGGTAGGCCATTTGCTATTCAGTATGCAGTAGTATAGAGTAGCTGTTGATAAAATCCTTGAACTTGTTCAAAATCCTTTTCATAACGCACTGGTAGAGTTTCTGAATGACTTGACTGACAATGATGTTGCAGATCTGTATTGTTTGGTTTATGTTGAGTGCAGCGGATTTCCAAACTGATTTCAGACGGATAAAGGTCTGTCTTGCCTTTCCAAATTATACTTGTTTTGACGTCTTCATTCATTCTTTCGCCTTTGGTTGAAACGATATCTGCAGACTAGCTAGATAAGTGAAGGTAATGACCTTTTTTTCAAATTTCTTCCGCTGATAATGATTGGCGCTTGTTACTGTCGTTGTTAGTTGACTATCTTCATCACTTGTGTCTACTCTGCCTCTACTTAAAGTCCTGTTCGCTTTGCTGCTTTCGTCAATTTGTTGGTTTTCTCCTGTAGCTCTTCGAATTGGGCTATAATAGGTGTATTTAACGAATGAGGCTAAACAATTCTGTTCTTTTCTATTCACAGTATCTCTGAGCATATCAGGGGTTTCTTTTGTAGTTCATAACATGAGGCTATGAACCAAGGAGAGAATATGCCTAGATCAATCGTTTAAATGTGGGGTTCCATCCACAGTAGGTGTACGACTATACTCCTAATTAAATAATGGGGTGACCTGCTTAAAACTTGGGCAGCCAGAAAACTTCCATCTCTCCAGTGCATAGATTTTCTCTCGTTCGGTTTGTTTTAATCGATTAAAATATGATCTTGTATGCATTTGAAATGTTTACAAGTTTTTGATTTGCAAGTTCCTACTAAATTTGAGGAATAGTCTGATTGTGGGTGGCAACTTGTCCCCTGGCGTCAACAGTCATTAATTCTTGACCTAAAGGCAGCATTCGACTCTGTCGATCGGAAGTTCTCTGGAGATGTTGGCTGTAAGGAATTCGAGAAAATATATTGCACTGATTAAGGCACTCTACTCGTACTCATACAGCCAGGTGGGGCTTACGGCGAGCTGTCATCTGAACTGGTGACGACCAGTGGTGTCCGTCAAGGATGCCCATTATCTCCTTTTCTATTCAACTTCATCATAGATATGTTAATGGACTTAACCCTAGGTGACTCCAGCGATTCAGGGATTGACTTGCTGCCTGGGAATAATCTTGTTGACTTAGAATATGCAGATGATATAGTCCTTATAGGCGAGGACGCTGACGAAGTGCAGAGTCTTCTAAACACCTTGAGCTGTAACCTACGAATGTTTGGCATGCGATTCGCTCCCGCCAAATGCAAGATGATGTTACAGGACTGGGCTACATCGACGCCTAGTTTAAAAATAGGAAGTGAAGTGGTAGAGCACATTGACCGCTTCACTTATTTGGAAGTACCATCAGCCCCAACGGGTTGATCTCTGACGAAATCTCAGCACGAATACAAGGGCTCGTTTCGCATTTGCCAGTTTACGCCGACTCTGGCGTAGACGAGATGTTCGACTATCAAACAAAGGGCGGGTGGTCTGCTCATCAGTCCTCTCCGTCCTCCTTTATGCTGTGAAACCTGACCACTGAGAGTGGAAGACATGAAAAGACTAGCTGTCTTTGATCATAGGTGCCTGCGCTCTATTTCCGGTGTAAAGTGGCATAATAAGATGAGCAACATTGAGGTTAGGCGTCGAGTTCTAGGTAAACAGGGGAAATCAATCGACGAAGTCCTGAAGTTACAAAGACTGAGATGGTTAGGACATGTGTTACGTATGCCAAGCCATCGCCTCCCTCGACGAGCAATGTTAGCGGATATAGGGTCAGGCTGGAAAAAAGGTAGCGGTGGTAAAACAAAAACTTGGCATCGTCAATGAAATCCACAACAGTTGGTCTAAGCCACGTAGGAAGGTGTAGACTTCCTGGGTCCTCGGACGGTAAAACTCTATGGTTGGAAACAATTGGTGACATGGCTCAAAATCGTTCTCAGTGGCGTAGATGCATCCACTCCTGTGACTTATGATCTCCAATGAAACTATTTTGTTTTTCTTATTACTCTTTGTCTCACACCTCTGCTCACTGTTTCTATTATGCTTTTCTTGTACTTTCTTCTCTTGCTTCGCGTGCTACACGGAATGTGGCGACTTGAACTTCCGCACATTTGTGCAAAGTTCTATGTCGAAAACAGACAGAACTTGTCCCAATATATGAGATAACTGCTTTTCACTTGTGCAGTTGGATTACAAAATATACTTCTGAACTTCTTAAAATTGACTTTCAACTAAATATTGTGGATATGCTGAAGGAAACAAAGCAGATATATCATCATAATGGAATGGTTTGTGCTTCAGCTCAGAGGCCACTGTTTCACAGGAAGGATATCCTGTCAATTAATTAATATTTTACTTGAAGATGTTGTACGAAGAAAGGAAATATCATGCAAGAAACTCCTCTGAAAATTCTGTACATTTTATAAATACTGTCCAGAAGAAAGATAGTAGTATTCACCATATCGATTTATTGATTCTGAATGTCTACAAAACTCTTTCACTACGTTTTATTATATTTTTCTTGTTTTTTTTTTCGGTACACAGAGAAGAGTATCGTACAATGCGTAGCTACATTGTCGATATGGTCTTGGCTACTGAAATGGTACGACACTTTGATATTGTTACAAAATTTGTCAACACTCTAAGTAAACCTATGCTGACAAAGAATCGAGTAAGTTTGGCTATTTACCCATTCATCTTTTATTTGTCACCTAATTTCATGTGTTGGATACTGGATATTCTTTTAGATATTCATCGACTATGGAATTATGACATGATGTACTGGATGATGGATGTTTGAAGTCAAAATAAACATTTGCTTATTAAGTGAATTCGAGCTGACTGCTTCCAGGTTACCGCTTCAATAGTACACCAGCTGAGCTGTGAGACCTAATTAGTAGGTGGGGCTCCTAATTTTGAACCTACTGATACAAGACTATTTCAGATAGTCTTATAAGTTGATTGGCTTATTGTATATTTTTTAAAACGCAGCATGAATTACCTGGGTAGACCACGGACTGATATCACGGAATATACACATTGGAACATAGGATATATTATAAAGACACTTAAGACAGCTAAGAAAATTGTCTTTTTGACGAAGTCATCAACTAGGCTGTACATTCATGTATTCATAATAAATAGGTTGGGAAGTTCCAGAACAATTTCCAGTCAAGGGTCAGATTAATAGTATTACAATTAGTAATTAAAATGCTATAATAAACAGGGGAAAAGATAAAACTCAAACAGAGTAGTAGTATCATAATTACTGAGAAGATTGACATATTGTGCAATTAGAGGGATTGATATCAGTTGGAGAACCAGTCAGGGATTACTGGACAACTGTTTGATCCTAGTTTAAGAATCATCAGCAGTACGCAACCAGTGGTAAGAATTCGTGACCAGTGAGAGCCATCCATTCGGGAGTGAATATGGAGTTCCTGCTGATGACACTGGTTGGTGGTCGCGCTAAAATCAAGAATTGCTGGAAGTTAGAATTCATGGGCTGACCATCGAATTGGGTTCCAGTGGCCGAATGGTATACGACCTAGCTTTGCAACTGTAACGTCCTGGGTTAGAAACCCAATGGTGGGTGGATGCGTACTGACGATGATTCCCGAGCTATGATGAAACAACTGTCCAGTACTCCCTGGTTTCCAGCGGTTCTCTAACTGATATCATTCCGTGGTCTAACCCGAAACAAATAGAGACTCTACAAACTAATTCTTCAAAATTGAAGATGCTTCTGTATGTGCAGTTTATTATTTCTTGATACTAAGCAGAATCCTCGTTAACCATGTTTCATAAGGTCAGGTGTTCGATCCACTGCCGACAAACGCATACACCTCGTTTAACCTATAGTAAACCCAGTAAGAAAGGAAAGTTGGGTGTGAAGCTAATAAACTCACCCTGTAAAACAACATCAATGTTACCAAAACTTCAAAGCTCAAACCTGCAGCCCTAAATTTCACTCAAGCAGAAAAGAAAGAAAATTTTTTGAAAAAAATAACTAAGTCATGAATAATTGTGAGACTTTTGCAGTGGAATGACTAAAAATATTTATAATTTCTGACACCCCGCTAGTTCACATGATCTCGGATTAGATAACTTTGCCTTTGTAGTTAGTAAATACCTACAGTTCCGTGTTGCTTTCAATAGATAACGAGGAGAACGTAAGCTCGACGCAAATCTTTCATGTGTATAATTGGTACCTGAGTGTCAGATATTGAAGTATACTCCAGCAGAAACTGATAATTTAGTGAACTGATTTAATTTCTAATATGCCTACACAACTTTACAAATAAATATTAATTAAATATAAGCCAGTCACGGTGATTTGTCATCAGGATAATAAGATTGTGCATGTAAATTGTACAATTCATCATAATAACAGTAATATTAATAATAATAATAATAATATTAATTCTGTCAGTAACAAAGATGAAGAAGTAGGGTGATCTGTGATGACAAGAACCATAACAGAAACAGCATGATTCAACAAACAGATGTTCAAGTATATGTGGTAGTCGATAAACGCTAAGATAAACCAACTAAATGTGACAAAACAGAGCTCCGGATGCTTTTCGTGTGTCCTCTGATAAACCATTAAGGGAGATGTTCAGTTACACGGTGGTTGTCTAAGCTGTCTAGTACATATTACGCTCAAGATAACTGTTTCCACAGGAGCAGTTGAATTAATAAATGCATAGGTGTGTGGCAAAGCTATCTAGCTCTCTATCCTTCGTTTGCGTCCCAATCATCAGTCGGCTACAGAATGACAAACGTAGATTTGATGCGTAGACCGTTCTACGTCTACTTCTGGAAAGTCTCTGGAACCAAACCTCAATCGACAAGTCCCCATTAAGTTGTAACTTAATAAACAGAGGTATCTTTCGTGCTGTCATACTCTCAGGTTTTCTATCTAATATCTGCATGTTGTCTTGTAAGGAGTTTCTCCTCAGAAGCAGACTGAATTTCTAAGACATCATCAGAATCTCGCATAAATTTGCCTTAAATAGTAAACAGCAAAGAGGTCCTGAAGAGGATTCAGAATTTGGGAGACGGAAGGGCATAACAAGCATCGACATTGTATTGACACCATGGATTATAACTTAGCGGAATGAATTACACTCCTCACTGAAATATTTTCATTGGTTAGACTAAAATATGTTAAAATTAACTATTCTATCCTACACACCTTTTAAGAGACTGATTTTCAAATGTCTCATTTCACTTACAGCATCATGATCGTTCCTCTGTAGGAAGTATGAGTTCTATGGAGTCATGTTCAATGGGAATGTCAATGTCTCATTCAACATCACCTAGTCCTGGACAAGAAAGAATCTCTAGCACGCTGGAGAATTTATCGACTGCAGAGAATAGAGCATTGATAAAACGGTTAATTATAAAATGCTCTGATGTTAACAATCCAACAAGACCACTATCTATTTGTAAAGAATGGGCAGCAAGAATAGCTGAAGAGTATTTTGCTCAGGTGAGTTAATTTTTCAAATCTAAAGTTTATGTTTGTTTAGTTATCAGTGAAAACATTAGTCTGTAGATGAGTTTTACTCAGTATTGTTATTGTTCGCTTGGGTTCAGCGTGGAATGGTGTCCCTCAAGGCTCTGTCCTTTCTCCTTCCCATTTTTTTCTTTCTTCTTGCATGACTTGCCTCACTCTGATGAAATGAACTTTGTGAAGTACGCTGATGATTTAACGGTTTCAATGGCTGTTAACTCCCAGCTAGATTGTGCTAAAATAAATAGCTTTCTATCGAGAGTCAGCAAATGGTCTGAGTCTAACAGTCTTAAACTGAATCCTTCTAAATGTCAAACTGTTAATTTCAGCTTAAGATGTAAAAGACAGTTAAAATGTAACAACAGAAGACAAGGGCCAGGCAACAGATCGTTTTATTATGAAAATCAACACGTATTTATACATATTTCAGACAACATTATTATAGACAAGCGCAGTCATCTGATTGGTTGTTTAGGTAGACAAACGCAGGCTTCTGATTGGTTGTTTCGGGATTCCTTGACAAACAGAGTTCTCTATCTGCGAATCATATTTTGCCACGTTAACTTCGCTGTGATTGGTTGTTGACTCAGCCTTGTTCACGGCCCATATTAGTGACCTAGACCTTAACGTAGATTAGTGCCAACCAATCGGCTAGCAGCCTGCTCTCACCACACTCGTCCCCCCGTCAAATACGTGCGACTGAAGTCGGCTTGATCTACTTGGTGCAGGCGTCATCGTTGGCTTGTCTCGCTGTATCCATTTCTGGAGCTCGCTGACGTTCACGCGCCTCTCATTGTTCGCCATTGCGACTGTGTCTGCGTAACCCCATCTCGAAGTGACCATATATGGTCCTTCCCACTTTGGAAACTGTTTACCTGACCCTGTCGAACATTCGTCCATACTTCGGCCCACACCTTCATATGCTGCTTTCGCCCGACCTCCCAGCAGCGTCTCAAGTAGCAGCTCCATCGCTGGCAGATCTTGAACGCCACTCAACTGCGCAGAAGCCTTGAAGTCCTGCCCGAAGATCCATATGTCTCCATCAAAAACTGCAGGGTATAGGCTTTTCATTTGTCGGTAGGCAGCGACACCAAATGTAACAACAGAAGACAAGGGCCAGGCAACAGATCGTTTTATTATGAAAATCAACACGTATTTATACATATTTCAGACAACATTATTATAGACAAGCGCAGTCATCTGATTGGTTGTTTAGGTAGACAAACGCAGGCTTCTGATTGGTTGTTTCGGGATTCCTTGACAAACAGAGTTCTCTATCTGCGAATCATATTTTGCCACGTTAACTTCGCTGTGATTGGTTGTTGACTCAGCCTTGTTCACGGCCCATATTAGTGACCCAGACCTTAACGTAGATTAGTGCCAACCAATCGGCTAGCAGCCTGCTCTCACCACAAAAAGAAGTCATCGATTCTCATGACAGTTGTAAGATTGACGACAATGATATAGGAATCAAATCAGAAATTAAGTATCTTGGACTTATTCTCTCTTCTGATCTCTCCTGGTCTTCCCATGTCTTAGCAATCTCCAGTAAAATATTCCGCCTGACATTTTACATTAAGAAGTTAAGACACTTGGGTATAACTCAACCCCTCCTCCTACAGTTCATAAACTCTTGCATCCTACCTATTCTTCTTTATTGTTCACCCTTATTCTTTCCTGGTTTGCTTAAAAAAGACTATGTCACAATTCGTAGAATGCTGAAGACTGTCAGTAGGGTGAGTGGTGTCCCAGTGGACCACATAGTTAACGTCGTTGTCGATAGGCACTTGACTTCGTGCAATAAATTTGCTAAAGGGATTTTGTCTGACTTGGAGTGTCCGCTTCACTCTCAGCTTTCACCTTGCATCTCCTCAGGTAGAACAAGGAGTAACTTCAGAAAACTGTATGCTCGCACGTCTAAGTATAGAAATTCTGTGATACCATACTTGGCACGTATTTTATGTGATGAAAATAGTGTCAGGCAAGAATTAACTAACCTTTTTTCATATTGTAAATAAACAATTTCCTCCATCCATCCTTATATACCTTGAAGTTTTACTTTTATTATTTCTATTATATTTATGGTCCTGTTACTTCTTTGTTTTACTCTCATAATTGCAAACACCAACTTATCTCCATGACGGCTGTAATCTTTGTTTTTCCCCTCACTATATCATGTAAAGAGAACGTTATATTCAATATTTTTAAACATGTTAGGATTTCTATACCACATTTACAACACTGTGTGGAACAGGCCCACGGCAATTTTCACTTGTATTCTTATTATTATTACCCTAGCTGTTATCATTATTATTGTTATTTCCATTTTATATGCTGCATGTTTTTGATACTACCTCTATTGTAAATGTGGAAAATTTTCTGTGTGATTAATTTTATTTATAAATAAAATAATAAATAATTTTTCCTTCACATTCCCAGTGGAACATAGGGCTTCAAGCTAGTGACTTGAAGTTTCTGTAGCTGTGTTTATTTTTACAGGATGTGGTTGCTAGCCTCATACCCAACCACTCCTCTATACCAGTCTTATTACTGGTTTAATGAGGCGAAGGAGTGCGTCGGTCGGGGATCGAACCCAGGACCATATGCATGGTCGGTGAGCGTACTAACCGCTGTGCCACCGACGCACACAAAAATTTTTATTTATAATTTGAGGAAATTAGATGCAATAATATTGTGATTAATGCTGAAAATTCCATTCTGTATCACAAGTACTGTTTTTGCAATAAAGTAAATCATTATTATTATTATTATTATTATTTTTGGTTTTTGAACACAACACGAATAATCCCAAAGAAGAAATATATTTCACTGACCAAATGTTCTCAATTACAATTTTCAAAAAAAAAAAATATTAAATAAATAAAACAGATCAATATAATCTCCTGTTTTTCGTCTGAGTAGCTTCAACAGCTTACAATATAGATACATACATATGTATAGTTCGTCTTTGTCTAGTTAGCAATTCAAATTTTCATTGTAATGCCTTACAGACATTGCCTGTCTGTTTGTATGTTTGTTTGTATGTATGTGTGCGTGTGTGTGTGGTGCGTGCATGTGTTAGTTGGTTTTTCCATTTAAACTAAACAGTTTTCCTGAATTTTTCCTTATTTATTTCTTTGTATTGTTGTATCTCTTTATTACTATTATTACCCTACTCACTTACTTACTTACTCGCTTACTCGCTTGCTTACTTGCTTACTTCGTTACTTTTTAGACGGAAGAAGAGAAACGACGTGGTCTACCAATTGTTATGCCGAATTTTGATAGACAGACATGTAATATTTCTCAATCACAAATCTCCTTTATTGATTTCTTCCTGAAAGGAATGTTCTCCGGATTCGATTGTAAGTTCACTGACTCACTATTTTAGATCATTTTATTAATATTTCTATTTTTGTCTTGAAAAGAAAGAAAGAGCAGTTTTACAGTATAAAATGTGATATCATCAGTCTATTTCACGCGTTCTCATCACCTGCTGTAAACCACTGCCTGAAAATACAATGGCTGTAAAACAGTGACACGAAGTAACACATTTCAGTTTTTGAATAGTAGTAGAGAAAAGATGATAAAATCACTCCATGGAGGATTTATTCATGAGCTGACATCAGTTAGAGAACCACTGGAAAACCTGGGAGTACTGGACAGCTGTTTCGTCCTAGTTTGGGACTCCTCAGCAGTACGCACTCACCGGGATTCGAACCCGGGACCTTCTGGTTACAAGGCGAGCTCGTAGACCATTGAGCCACTGGGACCCGATCCAATGGTCCTTGAATTCTAATTTCTACCAATTCACGACATAGCGCGACCACTTCGTAATGTCTTCTTCGATGAGTTACTGCCTCATCTTCAACCTGCTGTACTCTACTGGTCACGGCTTCCCACTAGAACCCCAGGTTAACTGCCTGAATAGGGCCAGTCACTAGTGAGCACAGATAAATTTTCAAGTATTGGTTTTGTAGGGAATTTGTTTGATTGCATGGAGGATTTAATCATGAGCTGACAACAGGAAAACCTGGGAGTACTGGACAGCTGTTTCGTCCTTGTTTGGGACTCTTCATCAGTACGCACCCACCGGGATCTACGAGCTCGCCTTGTAACCAGAAGGTCCTGGGTTCAAATCCCGGTGGGTGCGTACTGATGAAGAGTCCCAAACTAGGACGAAACAGCCATCCAGTACTCCCAGGTTTTCCAATGGTTCTCTAACTGATGTCAGCTCATGATTAAATCCTCCATGCAATCAAACAAAATCCCTTTAAAACCAATACTTGAAAATCCCTTCATCCTAAACGGAAGCATTACAATTTTTAGTTTAAGTTACCATCAATTTATTTGCCTTTGAAAGTAGAAAACGAGTTTTGAGGAGAAGACAGTAAACAGGGTATTCTAACAAACAGTGTTAGCTTGTAGGTTTACATAGCAACTCAAGATTGGAAATTTGCTCAGTGACTTGCAACAGCTAAAATATGCATAAACTTATCAATGTAATCAAAATTCAGTTTGATTGAAATAGCTTCAATAAAAATCTTCTATTGTTGGTTTGTAAGGATTAGATTTGTTTTTACGAGTTGATCACCGATTGATATTAGTTAGAGGAGAAACATTGGAAACCAGAGGAGAGTACTGGAAAGCAGTACACACCCACCACAGGAGGTTCGAAACCAGGACCTTCAACTTACAAGGCAAGCTTGTATACCATTCAGCCACTGGTAGCCGATCCAATGGCCAGTCAGAGCATGTATTCTAACTTCTACCATTTCGGGATTTAGCGCGATCCCAACGAATGTCGTCAGTGGGTGAGATCTGCTTTCCTTATCGTATGCTAAATATTTTGAAGGATTCGGAAATCTCGATGAATGACTCGTATCCACCACAATGTGTCTGGTAATCGCACTTTTACAATATCGGCTTCCTTCCAGGCATAAGTTTCTTTGGATATAGTTGAAAACTGTCCTTCCAATGTACTTGCTCCGGGTAGTAGGTGTAAATTTGTAAACACAGTTAGAGGTGACATCAGCAGGGTACTTGCTCCAGTTTAGATTGACTTATTGAGTAACCATAAGGTGGTGTATAATGACACCGGTTAAGGTACACAGAAGCATTCCGTTTTCTTCATTTTTGAATTCTTTGGGATACTTCATCTCCTTTGAATGGGAGACAAATAAACACTTACGTTTTCTTCCCCTCCTCTTCTACTTTCAAAGGCAAATAAATTGATGGTAATTTAAACTAAAAATTGTAATGCTTCCGTTTAGGATGAAGTGATTTTATCATCTTTTCTCGACTACTATTCAAACACTGAAATGTGTTACTTCGTGTCATTCTTTTAAAGCGACTGTAATTTCAGATAGTGGTTTACAGCAGGTGATGAGAACGCGTGAAATGGATTGATGATATCACATTTTATACTTCAAAGCTCATGTTTCTTTCCTTAATAATATTTATTTTCTTCTTTTCAGTTATGATTTCTTCAGCACAGTTGATGATTGCTCTGTTATTTTCCAATTTTTCGATATATTTTTGAACGTATTCAAACAATGTTGGTGTCAGTCCATTTGATAAATAATAGACTTTGTTTGCATTATGTCTAGTGATCGAGTATAGTATTAAATCAGGTAGCCTTGGACCTAGGTTTCGTACTAGTGGGCAATCATCAGTCAACAGGGAGTATCTGCAATCTCCTTGAAGAAACTCATGTCTCTCTTTCTAAGATTCAAACCAGCATCACCCAGTACAGTTCTGCAGTCAGAGACGCTACCACTGAGAAGCTATTCAGGCTCCTGACTTGCCTCTTGTAGAACTGTATTAGATATTTTGACTGATCATCTGGTAGTGAGTAATAAGTTAGTAAGAAGCATCTGCAATCATCTTGAAGGAACTCATGCCCCTTCTGAGCTTTGAATCCGCATCACCCTTGCTGAGGAGTGCCAACTAGCACAAAACCTGCCGATAGCCTTCAACATTCGAATATTAACAATTCAGAATACACCTTGGTAGCGAGCCAGCTGGCTTGTTGGTGGCCACACTGCAAATTCGACTGACGCATAGAATTCAGTCTGAACCAGAGCAAAGGACTCGACACATTACACTAGTTACTAACTATTGTCCGATCAAAGGGACATATGAATTCGTATTATGGGAATCGGGGGGATTTTCGATTAATTCCAACTTTTAGATTTTCGTCCCGAACCAACGGGGTAAGTTACAGAGCTCACTGAAAATCGTTAAGGAGCACTGGACACCTGTCCTAACCGAAAAACTGAAATGAATACCCACAAATCCCCAACAACTGAATGCCAATCACCAACTTGATGATGTTCACTGGATGGGTTTTATGAAGTCTGTGGGATGTCTGTGACCACTGGGGTGTCCAGCATGTCAAGGAAAAGTTGATCTTCATCGAAGGCACTTAGGAGAGCATCGCTTTGTCATCAATTAACAAAGCTGGAATTCAGGGGTCATTGAATCCCAGTCAAAGTGTCTGGATGGTTAATGAGATTATAATCCCATATTAATATGTTCATTTTATATATATATCACACACAGAGTAAAACAGCATTACTGTTTACTGGATGACAAGGTTTCAAACACAATTTATCATGGTTCATGTCCATATAATCGATTATAACCATAAAACTTCGAAGCTTCCGTCTCATAGTTCGCTTCATTTCCTCCTATTTGTCGTCATATGGGTAGTAGACATTTCCAAAGATGTCCTAGTGGACAGGTGTTGAATCATTCCCATTACACGTATTTTCATTCAGCTGATTCGATAAACAAAGCTGTCATCTTATCCTATCCTATTGTACGGTTGAGTGTGTAACATTAATGCTGTTTCACTCTGTGTATGACATACATAAAATGAACATATTAATATGGAATTACATACTACAACAGTGCCAAAGTTTTACACATATACTGTTCTATTAGGTCAGCGAAAAGTTGAGCTTGAGATTTATAAAAGGACTCCCATGACTATTTGTACAACCTAAACGTATGTAAGTATGTCTGCTGAAGTGAACATTCAGTTTTTTTTAAAGCAGATTCCTTAAGATCTCCGTAAGATCTCAAAATTATTGAGATCACCACAATATGTGATGCTGCTTGATACTATAAATTGTAATCAAGTCAAACTGGGTACACCATTGACGAGCTCGGACATGAGCGAACGAAACGGCTCTCAGGTGTTCAGATCCTTCCGATAATCTGGATGACTTATTTATTTACAACTAATCGTCTCAATCAGTCAGTAATATATGGTCCCATACATTTAGTCCCTCTTATTTTTTTGTGTTTCCATGTTTTACTACTTAATACAGTTAACAGTAGTTATATGTTTCTTTCTTAATTTTCCTCAGACCTGTACATTTTTTTTGTTTTTTATCTGTCTAGCTGTTTTTCCAATCCCTGAATTAATGAAAAATTTAGAAGATAATACAGTTTATTGGGCAAGTAATGTTGAAAAGGAAAAGCAACAACATGAATCACGCGTTGACACAAAACAAAATGAAACAGTTAAAAGTTAAAAGTCAACTTATTCATCATAAGCAGCAATTTCAGCTTCGACGTCTTCAATCTAAAAATGTACTACTCATCTATACGATGAACAGATTTTTGTATAAATGCTACACACCCTATTTAATTAGTAGTTCACATGAATGTAAAAACATTTTAGCCCTATTTGTTTTCCGTCGTTTGTTTCTTTATGCTTTGAGTTTTTAACAATTTCCCTTGCAACTTACTGTGAGAATGATCACTGGCAAACTTAGACAAATCATACAAATTCAGTGTAATGTTGTGTAATTTATATGTGTACTTTTTACAGATGTCCTATGCCTAACCCTGTAATCAATTAATTATTGAACTCAGTACATCACATCCAATTGTGTGGTTGATAATTCATAATTAGCTAACCAGTTAGTTGTCCTATCTGTCATTCTTTCAAATTATTATTATCACTTAATTCTCATAATTCTTCTACCTCTAATAGATACAATCATTAGATTATTCGATTTTCATAAATTGTGAATACTCCCCTTAAAAGATATGTGTCTGTCTAAATGTGTGCATGTCTGTTTGTCTGTGTGTGCACGGCGAGATCTCCTTGATTGCCTACTTCAGCTGTAAGATACTTAGAGGATTTTATTCTTACGTTGTAGAAATTCAAAAGGTTATCAGCCCTTATTATTATCATTATTGTTATCATTATTATTATCGATCTGTTTCCTCCATTTGTACAGTGCATTTTAACATATAACATGTCTAGTGTATAATGACCTAACTTTGTGTCTTGTTGTATCTGTCTTGTTGTCTCTGGTCTCTTGTGTGTGTGTGCGTGTTTGTCTTCGTGTGTGTGTGTGGGTGGGTGGGTGAGTGAGTGGGTGTATCTCTTCACAGATTATGTCCTATTTCATTATTGTCACTCATTTAATCATACGCTGAAGATGAATTTGAAATTTCATTTGTGTTAAACTTTTTAAAAATGATGTAATCATTATATTTGTGCACTATTCAATTCATATTCATTACACAAAGACACAGAGGCACACAGACATGCGTACATGCATAGAAACACATACTGACACACATGTATGTATGTATGTCTATGTGACTGAAACACATTATCACCTGAAGAAACAAAATGACAGCATCTAGTTCCTATGATATTCTAAATATTTAGGTGTAGACAAAAGCGATTACATTTGAAGCATGAATAAATGTTTTTTCTGAATTGTGTTCAGATTTCTTTCTTTTCTTTAAGTCATTATAGTGACGTCTTGTGATGCCAATTAATTTGCCTGGTCGACTGAAAAATGCGTAGGCTTTGATGGTATTAGACGGTTGGAGGCAGTCGGCAGGAAGCCTTGGACCTAGGTTTCGTGCTAGTTGGCACTCGTCAGCAAGGCGTATCTGACTGATAGAATTCAGTCTACACCAATCAGAGGACTAGACGCGTCACACTAGTTACTAGTGTCAAATCAAAATATGCGTAGGCTTGTCAGGTTTTGGACTCATATAAATATGTATCGGAGCTGTTCACAGGATAGAAAAACATATTTGTGTCATCTTTGGATGAGAAAGTCGTCGTTTCTTATTTCGCTTTCACTCGAGCTATAGTCTGACCTGTGATGTCAATCAGCAGCCTGCACAGCTTATACCCGATTAATCTCCATTTTCATCGAAAAATATCAGTTGGGAGAAAAAAGTTCTTGCCTAAATGATATTAGATAGTTGGAGGCAGTCGGCAGGAAGCCTTGGACCTAGAATTCACTCTGCACCAATGAAAGGACTAGACATGTCACACTAGTTACTAGTGTACCCGAGGATTGGAAGAAAGGATACTTATTCAAACTTCCAAAGAAAGGAGACTTAAGTCAATGTAAAAACTGGCGTGGAATTATGCTCCTGTATATCCAAAGTGAAATAATAAGCCGCATCATCCTGGGAAAATCAAACAAGCCCTGGATGAAAAACTTCGACCGGAACAGGCCGGATTCAGGAGAAACAAATCATGTATTGATCAAATCGCCACTCTACGGATCATCATTGAACAAAGCTTGGATTGGCAGTCACCTCTCTATCTCAACTTCATCGACTTTGAAAATGCCTTCGACAGCGTCCATCGAGAGGCCATTTGGCAACTACTTCGCTACTACGGGGTCCCATCGACAATTATACATCTCATCTAACAGTTATACGACAATGCTGCATGCCAAGTAATCCACAACGGGAAACTTACGGAATCCTTTGAAGTGAGGACGGGAGTGAGGCAAGGCTGTCTACTATCACCAATGATCTTCCTGATTGCAGTAGATTGGATAATGCGACAGACAACGGCAACCAACGAGGGAACGGGCATAAAATAGACTCACACAAAAGACTTGGAAGATCTGGACTTCACCGATGATATATGTCTGATTTCCCACAAACTGGAAGATATGCAAGTGAAAAGCAACAAGTTGGCAGAAGAAGCATCAAAGATAGGACTTCAAGTGAACATAGATAAAACAGAGGTGATGAAGATTCCTAGCCAACATCAACAGCAGCAACAACAACAGAAAACAATGAGCATAAGTGGGAAGAACCTGAAAGAAACAGCCTCCTTCAACTACCTGGGAAGCATCGTCTCAACTACAGGCGGAACTGACGAGGATATCAAAGCCAGAATCGGAAAAGCAAGACAAGCTTTCATTACTCTCAAATCTGTGTGGATGCCAACATCACTCAGCATCAAAAATAAGATCCAGATTTTCAACTCCGATGTGAAGTCAGTGCTACTATACGAATCAGCGACTTTGCGAGTCATAAAGAGCATCTCAAACAAACTACAGACCTTCATTAGCAGCTGTCTTCACTCAATACTCAAGATCAGATGGCCGGCCAGAAAAGATTACCAACAGGGATCTCTGGGAGCGAACCAAGCAGGAACCGATTGTGAATCAAATAGGCAGGAAGAAGTGGAGATAGATTGGCCATACTCTGAGGAAACCATCAAGTGACATCACTAGACAAGCCATTGCTCGAGTGGAACCCGAAAGGGAGGCGGCGAGTTGGTCATCAGTGCGAGGGTGACTTGGAGGAGGTGATGTGAAGAGGAGATGAAAGCATGTGGTGAGACCTGGAGCGGGTGGAAAAGTTGTCAGAAAACAGAAGGCAATGGAGGTGCGCAGCTGAGGCCCTATGTTCCTCTAGGAACTTAAGGATACAATAATAATATCAATCTAAGGTTCTAGCCTGTTGGTTCGTTCTCAGAGTTCCTTGTCATTAATTCTTGCTGGTTGACTGGTCGGCTATCCATCTGACTTCTAGTATCACAGCGATGAAGGCAGCTATTGATGAAAGTCTGCAGTGTAGCCTGTTCGAAATGCTTCTCATGACATGTGAGCTAAGTTTCTGAACCAATATAGAAGCGTCAAATGTTTTTGTAACGACAGAAGACAAGGCCCAGGCAACAGATCGTTTATTAAGGAAATCAACACATATTTATAGATTTTCATGCACATTATTATAGATTATTTAAGCAAACAAACACAGTCTTCTGATTAGTGGTTTCTCGCTGAACATTAATCTTTCATCTCTTTGTGGCTATTTCTTGAATGTCAGATCATCTATATGCTAACTGTATCCGCCTACGCAAAGTTTGCTGTGGTTGGTTGTTGAATCAGTCTTTGTTATATTTTCTCACGGCCAGTATTTGGGACATGAACATTGACGTGAATTACTGTCCACCAATTTCGTTAGCAGACAGCTCTCACCACAATTTGATCTTAGTGTTGAAAATTCGAATCTTGTTCTTAATGTCTAGTACAGTAGAAGGTGTACAGTAGGAAGATGTAGACTTCCTGGTTGACGTCCTCGGGATGGTAAAAACCAATAGCTGGAGACAAATGATGGTATGTCTCAAAATAGTTCTCGATGGCTGGAGCAGATGCATCCACTCCTTATGACTTATAATATCCAATAAAACTAAATTGTTCTTCAACATCGCTATTCTTTTTGCCTCATCTCTCTGTTTTGAATCTCGTTTTACTCTCTTCTCTTGCGTTGTGTGCCAGAAGAAGGTAGTGCTGTAACTCGAACTGCTGCATATCGGTGCAAAGTCCTACGATGAAACCCATCAGTCAGTATAGTAGATTTCCATATTCGTTTCAGAGTAATGCACACCTGTCTGACTTTTCTGGTCCCACCTTTGCTGTCTTCATCCATTCCACTTGAGCGTAATCGAAATGCTACTGATGACAACTGTTGCTTGTTTTTGATGTTAGTTGGTCAATTGGTTGGTTGTTTTTATCACGTCGGTCTTCTCAATGTCCACTTGAAGTACTACTGTATTTTCCACCTGACTTTTCGGCTAACTTGTTGGTTTTCACCTGTAGATCTTCGAAGTTGTGTAACATTACACATATATCGTTCTCAAAATCCAAATCTTCCAGAGTCGTCTTTGTTTTCTGTCTAAAGTATTCCTGTATTCTTGCCCCTGGTGGCTGCTTCATGATCCAGTACACCATAAACAGTATGAATTTGATTGTCAATATCAATGACCTCTTTCGTATTTCATGCATTTATACCCCCTTTGTGAATTTGAATGGAGCAAGAACAACCATTTTGTAGGGAATAAAATGGTACCATTGTTGATTTCATTGGCTCCTCATCAGCTCAGTCAGTACACACCAAAGAAATTAATGGCTCTAGAAACAGTTGGAATCTTCAGAATCTATTAACTGTGAGAACAGGAGACCTAGCTCTTCTATTGCGAAGCATATTATACAGACAGGACATAAAATTGACATCAACAGATCTTTTAAACCTATCTATAAAACGTTTTTGGAGGAAGGCGTATCCTAAAGTTTGTAGAAGCCCTAGCAGTTAGAAAGTTTAAGCCACCATTATGCGTTCAAAAACAATTCGTCATTACACTAAATCTTCCTTGGTAAACTTCGTTTTGATACCAGCCATAGCAGATGTAGTATTACCTCTGTTATTTGGTTTAGTGATCTTCATTGTTATTTTGACCTTGAATATGTCCTTTAAACTTGACCTAACTTGTCTATTTTCTCACCTCTTACCTCTTTATTAATTTCATATATATTCACATTCCTATGACAAGTCCGTGGAGTGTGATCAGATTGTTCGAAATGCGTTGCGCATGAAGAAGCAAGCAGCGAAGACAGGACAGATTACAGGTGAACATAGAGAAGACGGAGGGGATCAAGATAACGAACCAACCAACAACAACAAGCAGCACCAATCACCATTAAGGGGAGAGATTTAACAGAGGTTACCTCCTTCACTTATCTGGGCATTAAGCACCGTTTCACCTACAGGCAGTCGGAATGGATGAAGATGTTAAAGCTGGTCTCAGTCGGAAAGGCAAGATATACGCCTTCATCAATCTGAAACCAGTTTGGAAATCTTCTGCACTGCACTCAGCACAGAGAACAAGATTCAGATTTTCAAAACCAATGTCAAATCGGTCTTTCTGTATGGCTCAGAAACTTGACCAGCATGTCACGAAAAGAACTTCCAACAGCTTGTTGCAAACTTTTATCAACAGCTGCCTTCTTTGGTTCGATATTGACGATCAAATGGCCAGAAAGAATAAGTAAAAAGAAACTCTGGCTGGCAACAAACTGACCGAGAGGCGGTCGCTCGACAAATATGTGGGATAAAATAGAAATCGATCTAGCATACATTGAAGAGACCGTCGAATGACATCGTGTGCCAGGCCATTGCTCGATTGGAATCCAAATGGGAAGTGATGAGTGGGTGGTCAGTGCGAGGGTGACATGGAGGAGATCGTATAAGGAGGAGGAGAAGATGAGAGATTGTGGCCAATCGTGATCCAAGCTGAAGAAGACGGCAGAAAATAGGACAAAGTGGAGATGTGTTGTTGAATGCCGTATGTTCCACTCGAAACTCAAGGGAAAAATAACAATGATCCATTATTAAATTCTTACCCCATTTTGCCACTGCTGTTAACTTGACTCTAGTTGAAATTTTAGATGAATTCCACTTAACCTCATTAGTTATATTGAGTCAATCAGTTTACTTATTTAATTTTATTGATGCCTTCCACATTATGTAATTTTTCATCTGATTTTAACTACTTCTCATGGTGGTAACACCTCTGACTATAGCACTGAGTGACGCTGATTCTGATCTCAGAGGGAAAACGCATTGTTTACGCGTATCAACAGGTATGGAACCCAGGTAGAAGGCATCCCGATGT